TTTTAATTCCTAATTTTGAACCTCGAACCTTTAGTCTGGTTTTTGCTAATGGGAAGGAAATATGGTGATGGTCCCATTTGGTCCCGCCATTTTGTTTGGTCGGTCGGTCGAATGGGAATTTAATAACGATCATCATCATCATCATCATAATGATGATGATTATGACGATTATATCGCGATTATGATATTGTAAAACAAACAAATATCCTTCATACATGCACTCTTGTTCTTTGGAACTTGTTGTTAGAACCGGACAACAGAATATTTTTGTTGCACTTTCTATTTATTGATTTTTATTTCATTCATTTTTTGTTGTTGTTGTCGACTCTTACACCAGAACAATGATGATTAGATTTTTTTTCTATTCATCCATTTGATGATTATCATTGTGAGTGTGTGATCCACACATATATACATAGATATGGTCTAAATGAATGCAGAGAAAAGAAGTCCCAAGTTCCAGAATCATCATTGCTTGAATTTTTTTAATGTTTTTTTTTCGCCCTGATGGTGTTTTTTTTTTTGCTGTTTTTGCTGGTCGAATCATTTGATTTTTCATTTTTTTCTTTTGTTTTGGTTTCACTGACTTTTATTGACTTTTTTGTGGTCATGTTTTTTTTTTGTTCTAAAACGATCCATAATTTGTTGTTGTTGATGATGATCATCATCAGCGTTAATGACAGAATTTTTTTTTTCATTATTATTATTTTACAATTTTAAAAAATTACCAAAAAAAAAAAAATCGACAATTGGACTGAAAAAAAAGTCTAATGACGATAATCGACATGATATGAGATGATGATGTTTTGTTTGTCGATCGATTCGGTTATAAAAACAAATAAATAAAAATGATTCGAATTTTGATTGTAACTGATTTTGCATCAGTAATGGACAATCATTTTTTTCGTATTCATATAGAAAATTCTGTTGTTTCTATTTTTTTTGTTTTTGTTTAATGTAGTTACTTGTTTCACTGGATTTTACAATATTACCAGAGAATGTTCTACCATTTCTTTTGTTATTCATTTCGGAAAAAAAACACATCTATCGAAACACATACACAATTTGCAAGAAAAAAATAGACAACAACAAAAAAAACTGTAGCATGTGGCTTTGTTTTGTTTTGTTTTTCAATTCTGGTAAAATAATGATCTCTCTTTGGTTCGACGATTCTCACCAACCATCATCATCATCGTCATCATCATCATTGTCATGTGCAGGTTCTGGTATTCCTTTTTCTAGTTCCTTCTTTAATAGACAAATATTATTCTTTCAACCACATTCATTGTGTATCATTCTTGTAACTGAAAATGTGAAATAAAATATAAAAATAAATTCACTCTTCTGTTTTCGTGATGATTTCAAATCATTGTTGTCTTTATAATTTTCTTTGTATTTTCATTATTATTATTACTTTATATTCTTTTCTTAATATACACAATTCTTAAACAGACACAATACAAGAATCTGAAATACAAGTGAAAAAAAACCTACAAAAGAATGAAGTAACAATGATAAAAAAAAAAGAAAGAAGTAATTCTGGAACTCCTACTGGAACGAAGTGAATTTTACCACACATTTAGGTATAAACCAAAAAAAAACAATAATGCGACTATAACAATTGACAATTTGGTCAAACATTTTCTTTTCTTTGTTTTTTTTTTTTTTTTTTTGGTTTGGTTTGAAACATCGTTTGTCTTATTGTCGTATTGTTTTTTTTTACAGATACACACACACACACACACACACACACATACATTGACTAACTGGCTGACATGACATGATACATCCGATTTCAAATCTAACTACAATTGTTACAATTTTTTTTTTATTTTTATTACCAATTGTTATTGTGTTGTTGAAACCATTCAGTTTCACCAAAAAAAAGTGTGGATCACTTTTTTATTTTTATTTTGGTTCTCTTTTCATTTGATTTGGAATTATGGTTTGTTTGTAGTTTGTATTATCAACCATTCGTTTTTATTCGTTCGGATCAATTTAGTTTGGCTGGGTATTTGCGATAGATTTAAGTTCCAATTTTGGTTATATCAATGATCATTGCATTTTATTATCATCTGCGGTTTGCATAGAAAGTATTTTTTGATTTTATTATTATAGAAACAATCTTGTTGTATTTGTATTTTGTATTTTTTTTTTTTTTGTAAATTGGATATTTGATTTTAGTATTTTTTATACTAATCGCGTCATCTAGCAGGACAGTTTCAAAACAATTTTATTTGAATATTCTCCATAAATGGAAAAATATTGACCTACTCTTGTTCATAGTAAAGAATTGTGGAAAAATTTTTCTTAAATATAAAAAACGAATCACCAGACAATATTCTGTATAGAAAGAAATCCTGAAACGTGATCAAAATCAAGACCATCATTAAAGTGTATGCACTCAAACTTTCTTGATGATTGACCGACCCATTATCCGCCACACTTCAAATAATGATCGAATTCCTGACAGATATACATAGAGACACGCTATAGTGTCAATTGACACGCAACACTTGTTGATTTGGATCATTTGACATTTATTTCAAATAAGATTTGTGTTTTTTTTGTGTATGTTTTTAAAAAACAAAAAAATTATCTTCTTGATACGAGTTCATGGCCATAGGTTATGAAACAATACTCATTATGACTCAATTGGATTGAATGATTATTTAAATTATCATTTTAAAATTTTGAAATCTAAATTTAATGATGCCAAGTGGAATTTTATTAAAAAAAAGACACAAATATAATGATGATGATGTTCATCAGTTTCGGTAAGCACACACCTTTAATCATCAAATACATAAACAATAATTAATGTAATTATTTAATATTTACACTTGATCGACGAATTCACGGACATATAAATGTCCGGGACATTCATTTCCTTTGATGTTGAAAAAGAAATAATCTTTGATATGGTTCGTTGGGCTCTCTCTCTCTCTTTCTTTCTTTAGCTGTCAAATTCAATCCGCTCGGTTTATATAAAAACCGACGTTTTGATTATGATCATTGTCACTATCTTTTCTTATCTACTATCTGTTTTTATAATATCAAGACCATTCACGTTAATCAGAAATGAATTCAAATAAATTTCGATTCATATTGGCTACCATTTTTATCATATCACTAATGGCAAATTCATTGGTCGAAGCTAGAAGCGGTGGTGATGTTATCATTCTTGGGGGATTCGGTCATGGCCATGGACACGGACATGATTTTGGCCATTTTGGTCATATTCTAACGTTGGGCTCACTATTTGGTGCATTTGGTGATGGTAATGTCATTTTGGGACGACGCCGTTAAAAATAAGAAAAAATTTCTGGCACTCATCATCAAAACAACATCTGTATAAAAATTCTGTTGTTCCATTCTATTGAGCTTCTTTGAGAAAATTTTAAATTTGAAATGAATAAAATAAATGATTTTCTAAAGCAATTTTTTCAATATTTTGCAACCGTATATATGAAACAGATTTGGGTCAAGTTCTTTTTGTTGTTTTGTTTTTGTTGCAAACAAAATCCAAATCAAAGTTTTATAGTTTTTTCCCCAACTATGTGTTTGCTAACTATAAGGCCAAAATTGAGGGCACACATTTCATATGAACAACAATTGATTATCATCACCATCATTATCAGATCAATGAAGTCACAGCACAAACACACGCTGTAGAAATAAACCCAAAAAATCAAGTAGAAAAACCATCATATATTTCATTTATTTTGTAATTGTCAACATATTTGATCATCTGTTTCCTGGATGTGTGTGTGTGTGTGTTTATGTCTATTTTTCTTTTCCTTTATCACCTTACATCTTTCATCAGCTAATAAATTTATGTCTTCTGACACTTATCAATCAATATCGAACAACGTGGAAAAAAACGCTCATCATTCATATATATATTCGTTTGTAAGTTTCTTCTGTAATTATCACCTTTTTTTATTATCCAAATTCTTTAATATTTTTTTTCACTGTCATAATCACGGAATTTATCGATTCAAATTTTCATCATAATTAGTGGAATATTCAATTTATCATTGCATGATATTCACAAAGTTTTTTTTTTGCTTTTTGATTTCGAAATCTATGAGCATTAACAGATTCAAGCCATATATGGCAACAAACATTTAAACCATAGAAAAACATCGTCATTAAATTGAGAAAAAAAACAACAAAAAATTGAAAATATTTTATGACATACATTCTAATCATCTGCATATCATTCGTCGATTAGATCATTTTTCGTTTTTATTTTGTTGTTGCCATAATAAAATTAAAAGTATTGGAAAAAAATGGTCCAACAATGTCAATCAACGACACATCAATCTTGGATGGAAAATAATCACCCACACACTTTTTAGATTTTTTTTTTAAATTTTGTTTGCTTGATGACGTTTCAAGATCATTAAAGTTATAAATTATTTTTTTTATATAGATTTTTTTTCTTGTTTTTTTTCGGTTGATGTCCGTAAAAGGCTGAAAAAAATATTCTGTTGCTTTTGTTTAAGTTTGAGTTGTTGAAATTTAATTTTCAAAATTTTTCAAAATGTATTAGTTTGTAGGAGGTCTAGTTTAGTTATTATCCAAGGTGATCCAAAGATGTTTCAATTCTGGTTGTCAATATACATGTATATATTACGATGGCTAGTTAATGATTTGTTTATTGCTATTGCTAACGATTCATATTCAAAATATGAAACATGGGAAAAAAATGCTATAGATTTTACTGATACAAAAAAATGATTATGATTATCTTTATGAATTGATCTTTGCATTGAATAGAATGAATGAATGAGATTTTTTATATTCAAGGTCATTATATTTTTGATTTTATAGTTTGATCTTGATCTTTTTGTTATTTGTTGTGGATCATCCATTCATCCATCAATCATCATTCATTATTATTACGATTATTTTTGAAAGGTTAAATTTTATCCAATTCATAGCCTTGATAATTTTATTTTATTGAATATTTCTTTTTACGATAACCAAAATACAGAATTTCTATTGAGTTTAAATACATATATCATGAAAATAAAATTAAATTAAATGTAACATATATCAAACACATGATCAACATTAAACAACAACAACAACAAAAAAAGTATCGATGGCGATTTTTTATGGCCTATCATCATCATCATCATCATCGTCGTCATTGTGGTGTGATGTGGATCCAGACAGCATGAAATCCTGAAGCTCTATTGTTTTATGTATAATAACCCAATTTAAGTTTGATTTCATCTTCGTTTGTCCCCTCTTTTTTTCTTTGTTGATGATAAGATTTTTTTTTATAATATCAATTAATCCTGTGTATTTTATTTTTTACTATTTAGATTTTTCACAGTATTTAAGTATGTCTAATTAGGACGAATCTGGTCATAACCGAGTTTCATCCGTTTTATGGTGTCACTCTTTCAATCATTTTATATCTACAGTGCCCGTATTATAATGTTCTTTTGATTTTATTTCTTTCAATTTTATTTTTGTTTCGCCATTTTGTTCATCTAAATTCTGGTCATTTTGTTTACATTTCATGCCAACGATTAATTTCAATATTAAAATAAATAATTATAATAAGTGGAAGAGAAAATTTACTTGTAAACGTTCGAATCATCGAATCAACGAATCAATTAGAATAGTTCCGTTTCGAACTAATTTTGGTGGAGCCTGTCACCCTATCATCATAATTGATCAATGTATTATCGGTCGTGTAACTATTAGATTTATATTCGATCGTATTGTTGATTGGTTATTAAGTAAACAACGTTTTAAATATCATACACCTTATCCAAAAAATTGGATTAAATTTAAGATATATGCCATTAATCTGAATTCGAGCAATGGATAAAATTAACAACGAAATCGGATCTACAATACCTGTTGTGAGTATGGTGGATGAAATTAAACCACCACCACAGTCATCTACTTCATCAAAGATCGCCATACCATTGGTGATTAATGGAAAAGAATGTTCTAAAATGGAACAAAAAAATGGATCGAATTCTGTGGAAACCGATGAAGAACGTCGGTTACGTGAAGAACAAGAAATAGCCGAACGAAATGAATTGTCTATGATTCGTATGCTTGTACGACATAACCAACAAATTGGTATCGTAGGCAATATGAACATTTTTAAACCATCGGCTGAAGATGAACGTAAGAAACAAGTGCCTGATATCAGTTCTGGATCAATAAGTGATGGTTTAGGTTCGATATCGGTTGCCGGATCTATTGCCAGTAGTGATGAAGCATTTTTTCATCAATATCAACGGGAAGATCTTCGCCGTACTGTTTCAATGGTATCATGGGGTTCTGGTCCAGCACAAACACAGGTTATGACTAAACGTTATAAATTGATTACCTCAGCTGTTCTTTGGTTTTGTTACTATTCGCTTGCATTGAATGATTACATTTTTGGTCCCACTTTTAATGATCTTTCATTAATATTGGGTGTTTCATTCGATCGTATTGCCTATTTTGTCGTATATCGCCAATTGGCGTATACGTTTGGATCATTGGGTGAGTGTTGTTTAATTTTTTTTGTTTGTTTCATATTTTTAGAAAATTTTTCTCTTGATAGGCGGTATCGCTTTTGATTATGTGAATCGGCAGTTATTTTTGATCGCTTTGTTGCTTTTATCTGGTGCATCGTTGATGGTCACTCCATATGTACCTGATGTTGGTTGGCTTTTCCTGATTGCCGTTGTGAATGGTTTTGCTGCCGGTGCATGTGATGTTGGTTTTCATGTTTGGATTCTTGAAATGTTCCAGAATGGTGGTGGGCCATTACTTCAAGCATTACATTTTTCTTTTGGGCTTGGTATTGCTAGTGCACCATTAATTTCAGCTCAATTTTTAGACGAATCAGAAGGATGTTCTGCTTCAGTCAATGATGAAATTATTTTGTCTGATTATGAAATTCAACATCGACGGCAGACTCTTTTCATACCATATTTAATTACCGGTTTAATTGTATCTGCCGGTGGCATTATTCTTCTTGGTCTCTACCTATACAAAAGTTATATACCTCCACAAGAACGAAAATTACCAGCTTCGTTTGATCAACAAATGCCTAAGCAGCTTACACGATCGGAAAAGATTGAACTTTGGAAGCGTTCATTGCCATCCTTTTATATTATTTCGATTATCATTCTTGGCTCTGTCATGCTTTGGTCTTACTATGGACTTGAGGTTACCTTTTTTCAATTTTTGGCTCAATTTTCAAACGCTGTTCCATTACCAATACATGGTTCGATGTCGGCCAATCTGGAAGCAGCAACCGGTTCTGCATATGCAATCGGTGGTCTTTTAGCAATATGGGCTTCTTTTCAAATTCATCCTGAAAATATGATTTATTTGAATTTCATTCTGATGAACATTGGTAACTACATCCTTTTGAAATGTTCTGAAACATCATTGCCTTGGTTTTGGGTCGGTAATATTGTCATTGGATTTGGGTATGTATTTTTGTACAAAGTAACCTGAATTGTATTCAACAATTTTTGTCATTTGTAGATTTTCATCATGTTATGCTACTGCATACACTTTTCTCGAACATCAGATTAATGTAACGAATGTGATTGGATCAATATTCTTGTTTGCAGGAGGAGCTGGTACGGCAATATTCCCCATTCTTTTGGCTGAAATTTGTTCAAAACCATTGTATCTGATATATTTGAGTATTTTCTGCTCGAATCTAGCATTACTATTATTCGTTGTTATGCATTTCATAACAAAAATCCGTCAACGACAAGTAAAATTAATACAGGATCGATTAATGAAAAATCCAGCAATGTTGGTCAAAATTAAACAACGTACATTATCACAATTGTCTTATGCACCGCAATGAGTTAACCGCGTCATTTTCAGAAAAAAAATACAAAAACAAATATACACATACAGATTTTATAAGCCATTAATCTTTAAAAGTTATAAATCAATGAAAAATTTATTCCGATTGTCATAATGCAAATGAAAAAGGGATTTTTCTTTTTTACACATTCCAAAAGTGAGAAAAAATTTTGAAAAAAAATTGAATAAATAAATTCGTCGATATAATAATCATTTTATTTTTTTTTACTGATTTATGGCCATTGATAATCATCATACATGATGACTTTATTTATCTTTCTTTTTTTTGAACAATCATTTCTAATGATGATGGATTTAATCCTGATTAGAAAATTTTGTTTTACAAATGCTAATGATAATCAGTTGTTGGAATTTTTCGTTTTTGAAATCATCATTCAATATGACTTTGAAATTTTTCAAAAACAAAACAAAAAATAAATAAAATGAATCTTCTGGAACGAAGAAACAAATTCTACCCATTTAACACAAACATCCAACATGATTGATGATGATGATGAGAGTGCGTAACCTTGAAACATGTGAATAAAGAAAATTTTTTCTATCGTGTACACGTGGAAACGTTGACCGTTTTTGGGAATGATTCAAAAATTATTTGATGAAAACAACAGTTTACCAATCAATTTCCATACATACAATGTGTGTGATTTTTTTTCTAAAAAGGGTTTTTTTTTTGCATTCGATTGACAATTTCTTAAATGCAAATTGACGACTGATGATATGCCACTGTTCATCTTTTCTAATAGGAAATACATCGAGCAAAAAATGAATTGATTGTATTGAAAATCAATGATGATGTTGATTTCACTATCAATTTTGTTAATCTTGAATTCATTCCTTTTTTCAGCTTATCGTCATTATTACGTTGGGTTTTTCCATTTTAAGAATTTGAAACAAATGATTTTTTTTAAATTTCCAATTATTATCATCCAGATTTAATCAGTTGCTTCATTTGTCTAAATTACAGAAATAGAATGATATATTATTACCAGTTCGAATGTATATACATAATTATAATAATGAAATTAATAATCAAGAATCATATATTGTATATTGATTATTACAACTTGTTGATCGATGTTTTTGAAAAAAAAACTCATAAATTGTTCTTATTATTTATTTTTTTTCGAACAAAAATTTAAACGAATAAAAAAAATATATATAAGATTCATTATAATCATTTACTTGAAAACAAAATGATGATGATGATGATGAGAAAAAAATGGTTTGACATTTTCAAGGTTAATTATTATCTTTATTCCATTCATTCAATCTGTATCTATGTGAGATTACTATGGGAAACAAACAATTGATACAGAAATCAAATGAAAAACTGCCCATAATAAACGCTTATTCATGGCTAGCTAAAATTATTGAATTGAATTCACGGATGTCATTTTATTAAATCAAAAGCTATAGTTAGTTGAATTAGTGATTATAAAAACAAAAATTCAATAAAATGATGATCATTGATTATGATAAAAATTCCGATGATTATGATGATGATGATCATGTGCAGTCTGGTTGCTTCTAGATACAAAATGGATTGATTAAAAAAAATTTTATATCTCATCAATTATGATTATTACCATTGGTTATACTGGTTTCGAATGAAAAAAAAAATTCAAATATTAATTAATAAGAATCGTGTGTGTTGGTGTCAGTTGAAAACTATGAATAAAGCTTCGATATCGTCATATCATACCATCAAAAATTTGTCCTTTTCTTTTTTCAATTTATTTTCTTTGGATATAAAATTCTTAAAAGAAATTCAGATTATCAGCAATTTTTTTTATGACAAGACAACAATAATCGAACCTAACGCCATCTTGAGTCGATTGGAGAAAGTTTTTTCATGGATTTTTTCTTTTAAAATTGAGCCAGAAAAAAGTTATTTTTCTACCTTCTTGCTCATAATTAATTATATTATGACATCAAATAAGGAAAAAAAAGATATTTTTATTGTTATTATCATCCTATTATACAATTTCTAGTTATAAAATAAAAATGAAACGTTAATACAAAAAGCTAATCGTGGTGTTCGTGATTGCCATCAATGAATATAGTTTCACATTTGTTAAATCATTATTAAAATCATAAATCAATTAATGGAAAATAGTAATAAAATTCTGTCGAGACATTGAAATGTCAGACAGTTTGATTTCAAATGATTGATTTATATAATAATCGAAAGTAATCGAAATGAAATGAAATACACTAATGTTCATTGAATTAAATTGGAATTTTGTCATTTTTTTTATTATCAATTTGTTTTGTTAACTATTATTTTGCCAATAATGATGCAAAATGTTTTAATATTAGGTGCCTCTTGTGATCATTATGATTATGATTCCAATCCTACGCAATTCATTGGGCTCACAAACGTGTAACATTAGTAGCACATTGGTTTCGATTTTTTTTACATTCATTTGATAGGTAATACTTGAAGTATTTGAGCATCTAAAAAATCTTTACAAAATGATGATTTTAACAGGAATAAATTTACTTCATAATTTTTTTTCCTTGGTTCAAAATCGCCTCATTAATCAATCCATCAAATGTAAATTTCCAATAATTTTTTTTTTGATTTTTCTTTATATTATATTACATTACATATGCAATGATGTTACTAATTAGGATCAGATTTTCCGTATAAAAAAAACTGTCACTGTGTTTTATCACGTACCCGCGATCCAAAATGACACAACTGTAAGATGATGATGACGTCTATCCATATAAGAGAACGGTTAAAAGATGTAACAAGGTCACCTTCTGTATTGGAAATGATATTTTTTGTTTTATTTATTGAAAATTATCATTGATTTCAAATCGATACTGTTTAATCTTGAAATCGTTTCTCCTTTACAATTCAATTTTGTTAATATGTCCCCATATATGTATCAACTAGAAAAGAAAGAGTGAAAGACAGAATGAAAGATGAAAATCACTTGTTTTTCAAGATTTAAAAAATTAATTTAAATTTATTTTTTTTCAGAAAAAAAAATTAATTCCATTTCATCAAAGATCAATAGTTATGGCCAATGAATCGGTGAAATCGGATGAAAATTTCTGAAAAATAAAGAATTATGAATATTTGAAGCCAAAAAAAAATTCCAAATTAAGATTTTAATGTCATATAAATAAATTCTCCAGCATTATAAAAAGAAAAAATTAATGCTGTATATATTCGTTGAACGGATAGATTCTAAAAAAACTCTGATCCAACTTACACATCATCACTTTATTTTTATCTTTCTAGTATGATCAAAAAAAAAAAAAAAATTTGATTTCATTGAATTTTAGTTTTTTTTTTGGTTCCAACAAGGCAATGTGTTAATTCATGATTTCGAACAAATCGACGACAAATACTTTCAATATCGTTTTTGTTTTCTTCTCTTTTTTTTAAATTAAACATTGTCCTCACCTGTAATGTTTATCATCATAGTTTGATCTTTTTCAAATAAATTCATTTCAATTTCAGACAAAAAAAAATTTGTGGCGTATTTTCCATTTGTAGAAAGAATGGGATTCACAATTCAATTCTAGTTATTTAAAAAAAAAAATTTCTAACGATGATGTTCATTTCAACCTTGAATTGATATTTTCAAAAAAAAAAATTTTTTTTTCTCTTCATCATCTTTTTTATATATATATTCTTGAGATACGATGCGAAATCGTCATCAAAAAAAAATCGAAGCCTTATTCATAATTAAGTACATACATCTTTCTAACCATTTCTTCATATCTTCAAATGTGCACTTGAAACCCTAAATTTAGTCATATCCAATCATCATGAATCGTAATCTTTTAAACAAATTAATTTACTAAAAAAACCACCATAGCAATGAAGAATAATTGAATGAATCGACCAGTCTTTTAAACAACAATGAAAATTATAATTCAAGTTAATGGATGAATATTATTTTGATATGAAAAAAAACAAATTCAACAAAAAACTTCCTACTTCTTCATCACTATCATTGTGCATAGGTAGTAAATTCATCTGCAAATAATATCGATCAATCGATATGCAACGATGATCTGTGATATCATCCAGTGTTTATCAACGTGTCTTGTTGGAACATGTTTCAATCCAAAAAAAAATGATGTTCTTTATTGAGAAGAACATCTTTTCAACATAATATAATATCCTTCGTAACTGAAAAACTAGATGGCTTTGGAAAGTATTTTATTATGAGATGAAAGAGGTGTCTTTCGTTCTTTGTTGGATAGCCATCATTTCCATACATTTGTATTTATTCATGTACATTAAAATCAATACCTGCTGCTGTTCTTATAGAAAGAATCACCATAATCATCAACATAATGGATGATTCCATCCTCCATATGAATTATTGTACCATTTTTACCTTTCATTATTTCTGCATGTTGTTATAATTCTATATGTCGAATGATGGCACCGGCTTTTTGACGATAGCGGCTAAGCTTTACCATAATGTCTTTATGTGATTCATTTCCTATATAAATGGATAGAATCACCACTGGAAAATCATCATTCGATTCAATCCCTTTTGGAAAAACATCGATACAACAAATCCACCAAAATGAAAGTTAGTATCGATTCATTTTGATTCGATCGTTCATTATCAATAATGATAATGATGATTCGATTTATGTTCTCTCGAACATTATTACCCGATCTACATCCTTTTTGAATATATTCTAATATTTGTCATTTTATTTAGTTCGCTTTGTTCGTCGTTGCAAGCTTGATTGCTACCGTTTATGGCCAATCACATCAATACTACCATACTAGCGGTTTGCGAAACTTGGGTGGTTCATATTACCGAAGTGCCGGTATCTCTGGTGTAGCTGGTCTTGGTGGCCTCGCTTATGGTACTGGTCTAGGTTATGGAACTCGTTATGGCTATGGATCTGGTCTTGGTTATGGTTTGGGCTATGGTTTGGGTTATGGTCAAGCTGTCGCTTTGGCACCAGCACAAGCTGTAGGATATGTTGCAGCAGCTCCCGCAGTCGCTGTCCAAGCTCCAGCTGTTTCGTATGCCGCAGCAGCTCCCGCAGTACAAACCGTCGCTGTCCAAGCACCAGCTGTTTCGTATGCCGCAGCTCCCGCAGTCGCTGTCCAAGCCCATACCGCCCAAGTCAGTGGTCCAATTCATGCTGCCATTGAATCCCGACGAACCGTTGAAGTTATCGATGGACCATCCACTGGGGACGCTCCAGTAGCTAGCACCGTTGTCATTGGACCAAATGTTCAACCAATCAATTTGGAATTCCAAACTCAAGCCTCACCATTGGCCGCAACCCAAGTAAGGATATTTCAGTCAATGACTTTGGTCAGATTGTAACCTCGTTATTATTCATTAGAACCACGTTCCAACAGCCCCAGCTGAACCACAACAATCTTCATACGAAGAACAACCAGATCTCTTGCGACAAGACATCGTAAAACCAGTTGTCCAAGATGTCCACGAAACCATTGTCCCATTCCGACGAATCACCCAAGAATTGAAACCAGTTCAAGAATCAGTTCACCAAATCTTGCCACGAGGCCAAGAACGAGGTTTTTACCAACAACAACAACAAGTTCGAGTCGCACAACATGTTGCCGCACCAGCCGCTGTTGCCGTTCAACCAGTTGTACAGGCCGCACCTGCTATTAGCGCCGTTCGAGTAGCCGCTGCTCCCGCAGTAGCTTATGCTGCTCCAGCTGTTTCCACTGTTTCCGCTGCACCAGCTGCCATTGGTGTCATTGGTGTTCAACCAGCTGCTGGTTACATCGGTTATGGTGCAGGTTATGGAACAGGTTATGGAACAGGTTATGGTGTTGCTAAATACGGAACCGGATATGGTCTCACTAGCGGTTTGATTGGTGGTGGCTCATATGGATCATCATATTCAGTACAACCAGCCAGCTACGGAACTGGTTATGGTTACACTACCTATAGCAGTGATGCCTACCCAATCCGAAAAAAATAAACTAGTTTTACCATTTTCCTTTTGATCCCTTTCCTTACGATAACATCATCATACAATCTGCCTATCTACTTGTCTGAAGACTTGACGAGAAAGTTTTACATCAATGATTAATGAAATATATCGGAGTTGTATTGTGAAAGAGATATGTGAACCGATTGCTACCAAAACAATTCAATCTCATATTTTGTATGAATCAAATAATGTATGTCCCTCTCTGTCACCCGATCGAATGATATTTTAAATTTTACAATAAAAAAAATTCAAAAAAATGCCTTTTCGAATTTTTAAACAATTTCTAAACAATTAACAACCAGAAAATTTTTCGAAATAAATGGCTTAAATCTATGCCCAAACATATCTATCTCTTTATGACGCTAAGGATGTGAGTAACTGCAACTTTTACACTCGCCAAGTGCTTGCACTGGGTATTAACTTGGCATTTAATGCGGCGAAGCTGAGTCAGCCCCGCAGGGCCAAACCAGGACAGGCGCGAAGCACCTGTTCCCGGGCTGGTTAATAAATAATTGGTTCATTCTTGTAGATAGCAAAAATCTTTTATAAATTTAAATTTTTAATAATAATGATGATAAATAATATTTCTATTTATATCCGGCGATACATACGTTTCGATTTGCCCATTTTTACATAATTAAAATGTATATAAATAAGTATCAATTAATTATTATTGAGAAAAATAAGAAAATATATAGGGGCAATAAAATGATGTATAAATCATAACATTTCATCAACTGTCCCATAAGTTGAATCGAGCCAATAGAATTTTTTTTTTTTTTTGATTTCTGCTTGCTGGCTGATTGACATATAGAACAAGCGGTAATGGTAAGCGGAAAAAATGATTACAACATCAATGATTTTTCACATAGAAAAATATTTCAATGAACCGGAAAAAAGATGAAGATCACTTGAGTTTTTTAATCTAGATTTTTTTTTGCATAGCAACCATGGATTCTAGATATCGACATTATTATTTGTGAATTCCTGTAACGTATGAGCGAATCGTGTCCATTCATCACTTTTGGGAAAAGCCAATTGCTGAAATATTTGAAAAACGAATTATTGAATTTTGAATTCTCAAAGAAAAAGAGACTTATACTTACCTCGCTTACATCGTAGACCCAGATTTTTCCGTTATCATCGCCTACAACTATTTGCTGTCCATTAGGAGACCATATTAGTCGATTCAAGGCAGGATTCCCTTCGACGATTGTTGATAATGTTGGTAATTCTGTATCCTGATTCAAGTTCCAAAGATCAAGTTTACCAAGGCCATCGGCAGTGGCGAACAATGCTGGATGAATGGGTGACCACCTAACATCATATAAATAATCGCTACCATCTTCGAATGAATACAACAATTTCGTGGAAGTTGAATTATCACGCATACTCCACAGTTTAAAGGTCCAATCGAACGATGCAGTAAGAAATAGATGCGATAGTTGTTGATCCACCTGATGTGTCAGCGATGTAGCACTGTGAAAATCAACAGCCGTTACAGGACCTTGGTGTCCTTCAAACACATCCAATATACCAGCTTTAGCACCATGTCTACAGGCCGAATAAACAGCACCATCTTGGCTACCGAGAATAAAATTATTGTAATCAGCGTGTGGAAATGACATTGATGTGACAGCAATCAAACGGGATTGTTTTTGCTGACATAGTTCCATTGTTTCTTGTGGTTGCGATAACATGTCCAAACTCCACGAACATAGCTTGCCATCGTTCGATATTGAAATTAAATTATGAGAATTAGGAGTTCCGACGACTTTTAAACAATAAACCGGATGAGTATGTACGGAAGCCGATAAAGGGCTACGTTGGACAGGAACACGTTTTCCAGAACGGTTATCCCAGAGTACGATTTGACCTAAAAATTTTGAAAAAATCAAATAAATTATTTGAGGGTTGCAAGATACATACCGGAATATGTACCACCAAGAATCAAATTGGGATGAAACTTAGCAAAACAGGCAGACATAACGGCCGATTGACAATGAAATACATATTCGGGGGTATTTTTCTTAAACTTCATGTTCCAAACCAAACATATACCATCTGGTTCGTTTGGTGCATGTTCATTTTGATTATAAGAAGCGACTAGCAATTCTGGAAATTGCGAACACCAATCAAAACTGGTCACTGTACGACCACGGGTCCAGCGATCATCCGAAAAGGTTGTGTTTAAACTTAAACGTAGTCCACTTTTGTCTTCATTGTCATGACCACATTCCACTTGACCAGTATAATCGACAAATATATCCATCGAATCGGTACAGGAAAGAGCACGTTCTGTAATTCGTACAGCGCGATCGAGAAATTTTCGAAATGATTCTGTTTGCATTAAATGCCGGCGTTCTTCTTCCTTGTATTCCAAACGTTTCTTTTTCTTTTGTTGTTGTTGCTCTTCCTGTTGCATATCCACATGATCAGTTAATGGCTGCTGTGATAAATGATTACGGTGAAGATGATGATGATGCAAATGATGATGTAAATCTTGCGGTGTCGTTGCTGGTCGAACCATTTCAACAGTTGGCAGAGACGATTTTGCTTGCTTCGATTGCTGTTGTGGAAGTTGATGATGATGACCATGTTGATTCTGATGAGTCGGGGCTCCATTCTTTGAAAAAAATCAATCAATTAATCAATTCAAAAACAACATTTTACTTACCGTGAAAAGGCCAGAACTATTATCACCATCATCTTCATTGCCAATATCATCATAGGTCAAAACTAGAAACAAAAAAAAAAAAATCATATTTATAATGTTTAAAAAACTCAGTCTTTTATTGAAAAAAGACTAGATTAAAAGCTTATAATGACAACATAAAAAATGAAAAAACAAAAACAATCAAGAGGGACAACAAAAGAAAACTCAAATAAATCTTAAATTAACCACACAGCACATGGATCTATGACGGTTTTTTTGAAAAAAAACCGGTAGTAAGTAAAAGATCCAAATTTCTCTGTATATGATAAGCAATATGAATTTATATGTTTGTGTGGGTATTTTTGTATGTGTGTTGCTAAAATGATTGACACGAAAAAAACAAACAAACAAACAAAAACAAAATGGATCAATCAAACGAACAGAAAACAGGACAAAAACAACTCACCATGAAATTCGTCGTCCCATTCTAAAATCATCAATTTTCACATCATTAAAATTATCATCAACGTATAGACAGATGGAAAAAGACATGTGTCAACAATATATATTCAATTAAATTTAAAATGAGAATTAAAAAACGAGATATTTGCATGCATTTGTTTTCTATTTATAATTTAGATTTTATGAAATTTATGAACAATCAATATAATTTATCGCTAAATAAAAAAAAACAAATAGATTACCTTCATCCCAATGAATTACTGTATTGTAAAGTTTTGATTAATATAAGAAATGAAGATATTTTAGAGAAAATTAAAGATAAAAGACAAATTAGTTAGATAGGATCAATTATTCGGTATGATATTCAAAATTTTATTATTAGTTGTATGTATGTGTGGATGCGATCAATGAAATTATTGAAAAAAATTGAGTTTTCTTTTGTCAAGGATGTGAATACAATAAGTTTAAGCTAAAACTATATCTATTCTATAAAATAAGCTTACTGCTTGAGCGCTTTAAATTGATTCTAAATCCGAAACTTACCATAGTAATCAACAGGCCCACTTCGGCCATCATTACCGGTCGACCCAGTCGAACCATTATTGCTGGCAGTAGATGTTGCCGTCGTTTGGGTCTGTTTTTCATAAGTTACCTGCTCTTTGGGAGCAATCAATACGGGCGGGAATGATGCTAGGCCAAGTTTAACAGCAACAGATGAAGTTGTGCCCAACGTTATAGTTTGATTCGAAACGACCGATGAAGAAAGTGATGATGAACCATCTTCCGATATGGTCATATCGTTGGCCGTGGATTGTTGCTGTTGTTGATTTTGATGGTGATTGGATATTGATAACGCATTGCCTGAAATTCATAAATCAGACATCAAATGATTGCATATATAAAGATTCCTTCTCACTTGGAATGACTTACCCTTATTCGTTATAATACCAACCGATTCCAGCAGTTCATCAACATCTCGAATGGATGAATCACCCGGAATGGATGTTAATGATGATGACATTGAATTGTTGTTATTATTATTATTATTTAAACTATTACTATTTACATTGGTAGAATTATTATTTATCATATTGGTCATCATGGCTGATGATGTTGATGTTATCGTTCGATTTGTTTGATGTTGACCAAGTCCAAGATCGGACATAAAATCACGATCGCGATATTTATCATTACGTCGTTGTTCTTTTAATTCACGAAGCTGTTGAAGTTTAAGCTTCTTTTTTTCAAGCTCAGCTCGACGATCCGTCATTTTGCCGTTTTTGGATGTTGGGTTCCAAATTTTAATCGTACAAAATAATGTATTCAAATAAAATTGGAATCAAACAAGCGGCAATGTTTAGAATATACAAAGTACAGACGAACTTGGATATAGGCGTTGACCATAGATTGAATATAAAAAGGAAAGAATCAAAGTTAAAAATCAAAAAATTGTTTCAAAATGATTCAAAAATATCCGCAAGGTTGATGGATCGTATATTAATTATCCTTGAATAATTATGATCACTTTTTATCAGTATGATATTGATGAATCATCTGTGTTTGGCCAACGACGCGTAACTATAACACCAACGTATACGGCTATGACAGAGGATTTGGCTGGCAAGCCTGGCCGCCTTCATTCATGTTTATTTCTGAAGATATATGCTAAAACCAAAACACACAAACAGGGGTTCATGAATTCCATAAACATTTTCTTGAATTTGCTCAATTTTACTTTCTGGAAATTTTTTTTTCAATCAATTAAATTACTTTTGATATGATGATAACTAATTTGGATTTAATTTTTACAAAATTTGATCATTTATTAGTCAATAGTAATTTGTAAAATCTTATTGCAAAACATCGTTATATATACAAGCTTTTTGTAATCGATAAAGTTTTCTTATTACTATTTTTTCTTTATCCTATTATATTTGAACAGTCGATCACTTTTTTTTCGGTGTGAGATTAACAAAAATAAAATAAGCGGACTGTAACGTGTAGATGAACCATTGAATTATGTCCACTTATTTCATTTGATTTTTTTTCTAATGCGTAGGTGTTTCATTCGTATACGATGAGTATGTATGCATGATTGATGTGTGTAAATTAATTTCAAAATCTATTTTTTTGTTGATTATAATCTACAGGCTCAGTGAATTTTGTGCGAGTTCACTTAAATCATGACGTTAGAAGATGAACAACAATTATCAACTTCGCATTCATCGACATCATCTAATACAATCAACATAGATAACGTAAACAATACTGCAGATCATCCCGAAGAATCTGATCATTCAAATTCAGAGCAATCAACGTCGACACCACAAGACCACATTGAATCGACAATCGCTGAAGAAGTAAGATCAAATAATCAAGCAGAATTGCCATCAGACCAACAAGACGATTCAAATATTGACCAATTGCAGCATTATATCAATCAAATCCGTTTTGATTCGACCACTGGAAGCCATCAGATTCCACCAGAATTATTGGCCGAAGATCAAGATCTTTTGGAATCAGAATTTGAAAAACTTGATAATGATATGGACGTCATTGAAATGTATGTAAATCGATTGAATGAACAGGCTAATGATTTGCAAGAAAAATTACATGATTTACTTCAGAATATAATTCAAGAAGATAATTTTTCATCATCCGACATCACAACAACCAAAGCCAATTAGAATCATTGCATTTTTTGTTTAATTAATTATTATTATTATTAGTACATTTAAATTCATACATCATGAATGACAACAACGATAATAATACGAAAATTAGGTATCGATTAATTGATAGATTACAAAACGATACACGTTTAAAAACACTACTTACCAATCCCCAAATTCAAATGTTCATCAAGCAAATACTCAATGATGAACATGAATTCTTACATCAACAATTGGCTAAATCACATCGGGCAAATCATAATAGGTCATCATCGACTTTATTCGAAGATCAACGTCTCGAGCAACAAATTTCTCCATTAGAACATCATCTAATCGATAGCCATGGATCAGACGAACAAAATTTCCTCCGATTATTAATTGAAATCATTCAACAACAACCATATTAATTTTCATAATACAACATATAATAATAAAATATATAGTACATTCCCTATTAATCAAGCGTTTAGTCAATTTGATTGTATTTTTATTAATTAATATTAATAATAATTTTAAAATGAAAAATATATCAATTTATTTCATTGGGAAACAAAAAAAGAAAATCAATAATTTCTTTGGAAAAATAATTGAAAAAGTAAATAATAATTTTATATTAATTAGGTTTCAATTCAAAATCTTTCACAACTTGTACGATCGGCACAAACAATTCACTAACATTGGGCATTGGTGGTAAGTTATTTATATCAGCTGTTAGGTTTGATGTGGATGATCCAGATCCACCACTACTTGGTTCTAATTCAGCCAGTTTCCATTGCCACCGTAATCGTTGAATTGATGCTAATGATTCTGCTTCCATTTGTTGACGATTCAACATATCTATTTTGATCTTGTTCCATTTATCATCATCATCACTTTTCCATGATAGAAAAACACGGCCATTAAAACGTATACGGCCACAACCGGTCAATGCTGATGGGCCATCATTTAAAAATGATGGATTATCTGTTTTGATCTGTGCAATGATCACGTTGTCTTGGGAATGGTCCGTTTCAAGTTCAAGTTTGTTATAAAGTTCTTCATCTTTCAAGTATGTACACACTGACAATGGCATTGTTTGATTTTTCTTATACATATCGGCACGATTATAAAGACGTAATGTTTCCTGTTGTACAACCATACAAAGTTTATCTTGTTCAACTCGATGTCGCAATCGTAGGTGATGACGTTCTCGTTCCTGTTCGATAAACAATGAATACAATGGCGAATCTCTGGCCAATTTAGTAGGTGGTGAAGTCATTTGTAAATGTTCGGGTAATTTTGGCTGTGGAGTTGTTCTTAACAGGTAATCGCAACGATTTAATAAATAGTTCTGAAATCCAGGAGGTTGTTTTGATTCGTTCATTGTAGGTATTGGCATTGTCCGACGTCGACGGAGTACATGATCACGAATAGCCATGAACATACGATGCGAACTACGTTCCGGTTGATACTGATAAAGATTCATGTTGAATTCTCCGTTTGATCCGTTCGGACCGATTGTATTACCGGTACCATTAGGCCCACCACTACCGTCACCTCCACCACCATTCTCATTATTATTATTGTTACCATCACCATCAGCATTTTCACTAATCTGTCCGCTAGAATTTGTTCCAGTCAATTGATTTGATTGATTTAAATTAGATTGTCCGCTACTGGCGCCCGATCCACGATCATTTGAATAATTGTAATAGTTGGAATTTGTATTTGTCCCACCACCACTTGCGGGATTGTTAGAATTACCAGAACCACCAACAGCTGTCGTATTCGAAGTGGCCGTATTTCCCACTGCATGTCCCAATGATGATCGATCTGTGTTTGCTTGTGCTCGATTTTTCTTTTTTCTTGTACCAGTTGAAACAGGTGCATCATCATCATGATGATGTTTTTGTTGAGCTACACGTTGACTACTTCGTGTAATACGATGATTTGACGTTGTGGTGGTTGTTGCAGTAGTATTGGTCGTTGTCGATGAAGATGCCGAACTTGCAAAAATTGATGACGACGTTGTACTCAAATTAGATATTGTTGATGATATCACAGCCGATGTATTGATGCTTTGATTCGTCAGTGATTCAGCATTTAAATTATCTACCGATTCCATTTGTTTGGTTTGCTGCTGATCACCAGTCGAAGTAACAACATAAGGATATTTTTGTGCTGGCTGACCACCATTACCACCACCATTTATAACATTGTTTCCACCGATTGTAGTATTTCCATTACCATACTGATCAACACAGGAAACAGTTTGCGATCCATTACCACTGTTTACTGGATTGATCACGATCATCGAAGGATTGGATCCAGAAGGCCCACTATTTACAGTGCTATTGGCACCACCACCTGTAACAACAGCACTTGAAGAATTAGAAACCGAATTCGAATTTGATGGTGGCAATACGATCCGTATGGGCGGAACTCTCATCATCATTTGTTCGCTATTGTTAGATGATACGTTGGATGTTGCTGTATGCGACGAACCAGCAAAAGAAGGATCCACGTTTTTTCCATCATCATTATCTTTATTTCTTTGACCACCATCTTCTCCAGCTGTTGATGAATTGTTTGAGTCTATTTTGTTCACTGGTGTGGATCCTGAATCAATTAAATCATCTTGCTGAGATCTTTTTGATGATTTTGATGAATCTTTGGGCGTCTTTTTAGCACTATTATTAACCGAATCACCACTACGACGTCTTTTACGGCCTCGAAGCTGATGTGAAGCTGGTGTGTTTACCGAATCCTTTGTAATGTTTTCATTAACATGAGCATCTTGTTTTGATACTATTGCTGATGTTGTTATATTGCCTGATTCAACCACTGACAATGATGTTTGTTGTTCTGTATCGTTTTTCGAATTATCAACGGTTTCGCTTTTATTACCGTCGTCTACTTGGCTACTTGTAAGGCCGGATTCGCTTGAACCAGAGCCATCGCCTGAAGATTTTTTTGTTTCATTGCCTATCGACGATGCAATCTTTTTTAAATCATCATTTTCCAATGTTGATTTTTGTTCAGAAGAATCATTGTTATTAGATGTTGTCGTTACCAATGATGATATTTGTTTCGATGATTCTGATCCAGTCGTCGTTGTAGTTGTTGCTGTAGTAATTGTTCCATTACCGGAACTAATTGCTGATGTAATGACTGATGCAGATGTTGTTGATGATAAAGTAGACACTGGGGAAGAAAATGATGATACATGCAGAGGTGGTGATGATGATGATACTGTTGATGGCGTTTGTGATGCAGTTGTTACTGTGGTTGTCGATGTTGTATTCGTGATGGATGTGGTTTGTTGGCTCGGCATAATCGATTTATCGGATGTTCTAATGGATGAGTGTCGGTCACAACGGATTGTTTGTTCAGATGTTGATGTTACAGAAGATTTTCCAATGTTTTGTTCGTTTTCGTCTTCTTTCAATTGCTGTTGGTTAATCAAATCGTTTTGATCTTCCAATTTCGAAGCTAATAATTCTTCGTCACTATCGTCATCAGAAGGTTGAACACTTTTCTTGCTCGAGGACGATGATGAAATAGTTTTTGATTGATGTTTATTTTCTAAATGATTTCGAAGTAATCCTTCTATGTGTTCGTCATAAGCTAAATCAATGGCTGATTGTCCTCGTTTGTTTCGTTGTAATGGATTCGCACCGTGTTTCAATAAAATCTTAACGATGGTCTGATGACCATTTGATGCAGCATCGATCAAAGGAGTTGTTCCACATTGAGCCGAAGCATTCACATTGGCACCATGATTAACCAATACGCGTACTGCTTGTGTATGGCCACGATTGCAGGCTTCATGCAGGGCTGTCCAACCTGTGAAAATTAATCGGGTTTAGATTTAGATTCTAAAAATTGTTTGGCTTATCGATCGATGAATAATAATTATACAAACCAGCAAAATCTTGTATGTTAATGTCATACGCTGCAGCAAACGATGTAGCTGTACAATTATGTGAATCTAATGATGATGATGAAGTTGATGTTGGTTGCTCAACCGGATTGGATCGAGTTGATTTTTTTGAACCACAGCCGAAGCCTCCGTTGTTTAATTGAAGCAAATGTTCCAATCGGCCAAAATCGCCACGAATGGCAGCCAAATGAAGTTCGGTTTCACCTTTGTTATTACGAAAAAATTTTCTTGATGCCGTTGTTGACGAAGATGCTGGTGATGATGATGACGACGACGATGGATGTGTATGTTGATGATTATGGTTATGAATTGACGATTCTTCGCAACTTTGTGAATGATGATATGATGACGATGATGAATGTGCGTCTTGATTTGAAAGATTCGATGATTCTGAATCAGATAATCTATTGTTTGATGATATCGTAGTTGCAGCCTGCTGTTGTTGACTATGATGATGATGATGATATAATTTAGGACTATTCGATCGAGATTTTGATTCAATAAATGGTGTTTGACTTAATGTTATCGAATTGTTATCAACGGATAGTTCTAAAGAATGTTTATAATATAAAAAAGAAAAGTGGAAAAAATGAAAAAAATGATTCAACGGTTCTTATTCTCACTACAATGTAAAAAAAAATCACATCACATCACAATCGAATCAAGAAAGAAAGGTCAAAATTTAATCAAAAATTAGAATCAATCGAAAAGAACAAAATAAAAAAAACATTATCAACATCAATAATGAAAAACAGTAAACGGCGAAAAGCAAATTCATTATTTGCAACGCGTCTGTTCACACAACAAGCACAAAGAAACTCTGTGCTCTCTCAGTATTCGTCTTTTGCTTTCTCATCAATGATGATCAGTTGGTTGTATTGGACAAACCAGCTCCAAACTCGAAACTCTGTCCTGTAATTTTATCTTGCAAGCAGCAGTCATGCTAGGATTATATTCAAGTTGCTTGCCCCATACAAAACAAACCATTAATTTCATGAATTGATGATGATGAGAAAGGGGGATCCAAATGCTCAAGATAAACTTTCACTGATTTCAACTGTCTTTGTCTCTCTCTCTCTCATTCTTAGCTTATGAAAGTACCTCTTCCCCACAATATTGGGTATGCTGATCACACACAACCACACACCAAACAAAACAAAAACCAGTTCACACAAATGAATACATTATAAAGACAAATGTGTACCAAATTAAATGAACAAAAATGTTGACACTGAATTACAAAGTTCAAAAACAAGAATATAATCATCAAGAAAATCTATCAAATATATTCGATCTGATAATTTTTAAATCAATTTGTTTTTCATACATAGCAAGTAATTCAAATGTTGAGAACTAAAAAACGAGACTATTTTCACTCGATTAGTTCCAATAAGTTGAAAGAGTACAACAAAGGACAAATGAGAACGCACATTTTGGCACACAAAAACACACACATCTTTCTTTTCTCATCGTGTTGGATATCGTGTTGTTTTTTTCTAATCGAAATCGAAATTATTGAATTAAATTGCGATAATATATTAAAATGGCTCACGACGAAGGAATCGATGAATCTAAATTTCAAGGATGGCGTAAATACTATAATTCATATACCCGAACAGGACGAGCTGGTGCTTCAGCGATCACATTGGGTTTGGTTGCTGTTGGTGTTTTATATTTGATAGTCAAGCCGAAAAAGAAGTAAAATCAATCGATTGCTTTCGAAATCGTAAAGATTTTCATCAAATATTGTATACATACATACATACAACTATTTGTATCTTAGCTACTCAGAATGAATGAATAAATAAAAATTCATTACAATTAAACTTACCATCAATTGAAAGCTGTACGGCTAATTCAATTTGTTTTCTCAATGAAAACGGTGCCGTAATGTTACCGACAATAGATGTGGATAATGATGATAATTTGTTAGTATTGAATGATTCAGTTTTGTTTCCTTTTTTGGATGATGATGAACAAGATTCATGATCACCAATCATAACTTCATGCTGCTCATCATGTGATGAATTGTTAAATGATTCATTTTCTTCTCCATTATTTTCGATTGCATTCATAGAATTTTCATCATCACCATCATGATCTTGGTCATCGTCGTCAAAGTTTTGAATGCCAACCTCATCATCGTTATTATCATTATGATTGCTGCCAAATGTTACAACATCATTAAATGTCAAACGTCGACGTGATGATGAAGATGAACCCGTTATGCGATTACGTTTGACCGTTTGAGATTTCCTTTGATATTCTTTACCGTTTATAGTATTTGTACGTTGTGAATTATTTGTTACAGCTTTTCGTTTACCACTACTAATGCTATTATTGTGATGATTTTGACGTAAACTATTGTTGAAAGTGGTCAATTTGGAATCGCTTGATATTAACAACGATGATGATGTTGTGGAATATTGCTTCGTTGATCGAAGTTTCTATAAATGAAAAGAAAAATCAATGAATCATTTCCATAAAAAAGTCTAAAACACAAACCTTATGGCTGGTTGTAGTCATCAAACATCGACGTGATATAGAATCATTGCTACTGCTATTACTATGTTCATCTGTATGATGATGATGATGATGATTTCGATGGATTGGTTTAAGATGTGTAGTAGCTTTTGTCGTGGTCGATCTCGATGCTTGAATAGTCGACGTTGATGAAGATGATTGTTGATGTTTGGCCGAATGTGAACGATCACTAAATAAATTCTTCATGAGATCTTAGTAAAAGTTTTTCACTTGTTTATAATTATTTATTATTATTCTTTATGAGTATTTTGTAGTATAAAAAGAAAAAATCATAAAGATTACGTAATTCATCGCACATGTGGTGAATAAAGAATTGGCGCCAAAATTTGTTTATGTTGCTACTTTTTTCACGTATTTTTTAATTCTTGTTTAAACATGATGGCATTTTGTTCACTAGAAAATTACAACAACAACAATAAAACAAAAACAAATCTACAAAAGATTGGTAAGAAAATTTGGCGCCAATTTTCTAAATTATATTTCAACATTTACATATATTTTATAGTTGTTAAAACCACTTCTCTTTAATTCGATTGATGATTTTAAATGGACATCTATTCATCATATCAATCAAATAGTACAATCGATCGATTTAAACCAATCAATGTTTAGAACATCCAGAATAAAAAGGTTGAATTTTCGTTTTAGTTGTACACATTGATTATGAACATGTAAATGTGTGTTTCAGAAACAGTTTGAGATTCGCTCGCTACGAAGTTTTCTTGAGCGGGAGAGGGAGAGAGTGAGAGCTAACTTTAGGCGCACTTTCTCCTTTTCACATTATTTTCCCCTCTCTTTTATATTTATTTGATAGTTTGTTTTTAACATTTGCAAATACCGTCCATAGATGTCGTTTCTCAATAAAAAAAAAAAATTTTAGTTTTGGAACGAAATGATTATCTTGATTGTGGATCGAAAATTAAATCTGGACATATAATATAGAAAATATGAATAAAATATTATGAAAAATAATGATTAAAACATGTAAACACACACACACAAACACGTCCGTATACATTTACAATTAAATGAATTTGTTTTCTTCCTATGTATGGAATTATTTTTGGGTTTTTTGCTTTTGTTAAAATTGAAAATGACAATGATTTTTTCTATCATATAAAGTGGATTATGATGTGGGGGGAGGAGGAGGCATCGAATATCCACCAACACTACCTGGAGCTCCAGAAACTGGTGGTCCGGCTGCTGCTGTTGATGGTGGATATTGTTGCTGTTGATTCGATTGTTGTGATTGATCATTATGAGGATAACCACCTGATGAAGGTGGTGGACCATAGCCTGGATGCATTGATGGCGGTGCTCCACGTGGCGGTTGTGGATATTGACCAGCTGGAGGATATCCTTGTTGTTGAGGCGGAATTGGATATCGATTTGGCTGACCACTACCAGCCTGACTAACTGCAGTTGGTGCTTGTTGTGAACCACCACCACCACCACCAGAACCATTTGATGCTTGAGTTGATGCATAAGGCGGTTGACCCCCGTACATGTTAGGAAGAGGTGGACCATATGATTGATGAGGGGGTGGTGGAGGTTGGCCATAACCTTGATAATAGTTGGGCATATAGCCACCTTGTGGTGGTGGATATTGTTGATTTGGAGGTGTTGGTTGTCCAGCTGTTTGTTGTCCAGCTGATTGGGGACCACCAGCTTGTCCACTGCCGTACCACTGGCCACTTTGTGGCGGATAATTTGGATATTGACCATATTGATTAGGATAATGATGTGGTGCATGATGGTTTTGATGAGGTGGTGGTGGGCCATAATTCGAGCCATAATTCGCATAATTCTGGTGGCCCGGATATTGCTGTGGAGCAGTCGGTTGTTGTTGTTGTTGCTGCTGCTGCTGTTGTTGTTGTTGTTGTGGTGGTGGTGGTGGTGGTTGTTGTTGTTGTTGTTGTTGTGGGGGATAAGAAGGACCAACTGCAGGCGGTCCATATTGTCCATATTGATTTGTGTGTGGATAAGGAGAATTCGGTTGCTGTTGAGAGGATGTAGGTGGCATCCACGTTGATGAGTGAGAAGCAGGCGGATACATCGGATGTTGTTGTTGACCAGATGGCTGTGATTTTCCACCACCATAACTTGGCCTGGATGGATTGGAATTTGATACGTTCGATGATTGCGATGTTGGTAATGCTGATACTGATGGTGGCCGTGGTGGTATCGATTCTTGTGATTGCAGTTGTTCTCTTCTGGATGATGATGGTGTTGCTGAACGAGGTGGATAACCAGCATTTTCACCACCAGTTTCTGGTGTGGATTTATTATTGTTATTAACATTATTGTGATGATCAGTATTAATAGTATTATTATTATTATTATTTTCCAAAATATTTGGGGGTGTGGTACGTTGAGAATGTGATGTAGTCGATGTCGATATTGGCGGATGATGATTAGTTGGAGGTGGTGGGTGTGGTGGTACTTGTGCAGCAGTAGCTGTGATATTGGGAGGATATCCCGCACCTGGAGTTGTAGAATTATGATTCGGAGGTCCAGGCGGACCATTCGTTGTTGGTGGTGGTGGAAACATTGGTGGCGGTAATATTTGTGATAAATTTGGATTGGTTTCAGCCGCCGATGTTAGATAGACAAGATTTCTATGTAATGCTTGTTGTAATGGATAAAAATCTTGTACACGGCCACGATTTTGATATTCAATTATACAATTTATTAGATGATTGTTTTCGTCCAAAATCTATTAAATTAAAGTCAGACAATGAAATGTTCAAATCAAACTACGATCGTATTCAAACCTTTTGAACTTGAGCCGAGCTGATGGGTGGTGGCGGACCTTGTGGCATTGGATGTTGCCTATGACCATGATGACCGTGATGATGTCCACCACCATGATGATGATGACCACCAGATTTACCTCCGGGTAATCCTTGAGGCGGTTGCTGCTGCTGCTGCTGCTGTTGTTGTTGTTGTTGATGATGATGATGATGATGATGAGGAGGTGGTGGAGGCATCGATGATGAATATGGATGATGTTGTCCTTGTGGTGTAGGCGGTGGCAGTGGTCCAATATTGGATGTCGTTGATGATGATGTTGGTGGTGGTACCGCTGCCGAAGCTGCTGCTGATGGCGTCGAAGCCATTATCAATGATTTAATTTTATCTTGTCAATGAAGATTACGATGATAAAATCTGAATGAGATCAATCATTCAAGGAATGTAAAAAAAACAGCATGAATCAAAAAAAAATATACGAAAAGTTTTTTATGCTGTTGGCCTTTTCAACACAATCAAAAATTCATTTGATGTCGATGTCAATGAAGTCGATGAATAGCGAGCGTCGTCGTTTATTCTTTTTTTTTGAGCACAAACAATGAAAGCATCTATTTACACTCGACCGGCATGTTCTTTTTGGAATTATTTTGTCACCACTAATTTTTATTTTATTGTTTGAAATTGATTCTTAAATTTTTGGATATCAACAAATAATATTTTTTCCGCCATCATTTTTATTTGGAGAAATCTTATTTCCTGTTATAATAAATTTTCATTTTATCGTAAACGTTATTTAAAAAAATTCATTTAGTATCATAATTTGAAAAAGCTGTTTAGGTAGAAAGAGCCGACAAGCCTTTCGAATGCAACGTTCAATTTAATGAAAAAACTGAAGCTTGGTTGCATGCATGTTATATTGAAAGTGGTCCGAAATCCGAAGACAATACCATTATTACTAACTCCTGTATTCGTATTGTTGGTTTCAATTTTGTCCGTTAGTTGTAATCCATAAGAATTAAATTTGGTAGAAACAAGTCGTTCAATCATGACATCAACACTATCTGCTGTAAATGATAATCATGTTACAGCACAATCAACTCCATCATCATCATCATTACAACAGAAACAACAACCACCAAATGATTCTGATGATCTACTTGAAGATATGCTCAATGATGGTCAAAATTCCAATCATCAAAATATAGAATCAGATGCACATGGTGATGGTGGTGGTCATGAAGATAATGATGTTGGTGGAACAGGCGATGATGAAGAATTAGAAGTTATAAGAGCTCGCGTTCGAGAGATGGAAGAAGAAGCGGAAAAGCTAAAACAAATGCAAGATGATATTACCTCACAGATAAGCAATACTGGCTCAAGTAAGGATCAATTTATGTTTTTTTCGATTCCAATAATTCATTCTACTTTTTCAGATGATCATTCAACCTTATCTCCCGAAGAACGGGCTGAGATAGATAGTCGGTCCATTTATGTCGGAAACGTAAGTTTATATTTCTTGTTAAATTTAACTAATAATGATTAATTTTTTTATCAGGTTGATTATACGGCTACTGCCGATGATCTCGAAAAACATTTCCATGGTTGTGGTTCAATCAATCGTGTGACCATTCTGTGTGATAGATTTACTGGACATCCAAAAGGGTATGAAATCGATTTATTTTTCTCCACACAGATAATAATTTCAAATTCCTCATAAAGATATGCTTACATAGAATTTGCTGACAAAGATTCAGTGGAGACGGCTACAGCTCTCGACGAATCCCTATTCAAGGGTCGTCAAATAAAGGTGAATGCCAAACGAACTAATCGTCCGGGATTATCGACCACAAATCGTCCACCACGTGGTCGAGGTCTAATGGGACGTGGTCGTGGTGGTTTTTTTCCTCGTGGAGGTGGCGGTGGTAGTCCATGGATACGTGGTGGTGGCCGTGGTGGTCGGGGATTCAGGTATTGAATTTTCTGAAAAAAAATATATCTTCAATCAATTTCAAATTTTGATCAAATGAAAAAATAGATCCCGTACTGGCTGGTATGGCTATTCACCATATTGATGAAAATTCATGAAAATCTAAACCAACCGACAACGAAACGAAACACACCACCCATATATGCATCGAAACGTGCTGTTTATCAATTCATTTGATACGTTCATTCATTGTCATCGTCATCATTCTTATGATTTACATTCTAATGGCCATCGATTTATGAATAAGCCACGATAGGATCATTATATAATTTTTTTTTCGATTCACCAAATACATTATATCCAATAAAAACCACATTGGATCATCCAAATATAAAAAAACAAAACAAAACAAAAAAAAATATCACCCATACCATAATATACTCAAATTTATAGTGAAAATTATCAAAAAAAAATTACATAGACGAATAGCCAAACAATAAACGTCTTTGTTTATATATGTAATATGTAAACATCTTGATATTCATTATTTTCACTCATAATAATCCGATAGAAAATTTTGAAACAAAAAAAAATAAATGTTAAAGACTACAAAATAAATATATTATTCTTAGGGATTCTCGAAACATAAAATATGAAAAATGAACAATTTAAATCAATCATGATATGTTTATTGGATTTTTTTTTGTATTTCAGGTTGATAAAATTGTTATCGATTCAGATTAGCGACCTTCATCATTGTCGGATAATGTATGATTCATGTTGATTATATTGCCATAAATGTTTTGTTGTTCTGTATGGTAGATATGATTAGCAGCTGCCAATGCACCACCTTGTACATAACGAACAAAATTATCACCCACTAAAGGACCTAATGCATATAGGCCTGGAATGTCTTTGCATTCATGAGTGTATGGATCAATGTCAATTGGATTAAGGCGATGATCAATAGGAGACGAAGCATCGTTTGCCAATCGTTGACGAATTTTATCATCGACAAAATCTAATTGAGGATTTGAACCGATTAAAATTAATGCAAACGATATACGAATAGTTAGCTGATGTCTTATAGGACGATGACAACGACAACACAGTGTTGAATCGGCTTTATTTTTATCCAGAAACTCTAATGTTGCAGTACGATGACCATTGGTTGCCGTTTGTATGGAAGACAAAATACATTCTTGATATGCTTGATAATGTTCGAATCGCAATGTTGATTGTTTTGAGGATGATGATGATGATGATGATGATGAATAAGAAGAGGGTAAATGATGTTGGCCATGCGGTAAACATGACAAACAATGGATGCTATTCTGAACAGAGTGTTTCATCTGTTGAAATACTTGAAAATATTCGGGATAGTTTGAATCATTTGTAGCTAATTGGTTGAATATTAATGAACGATCTCGAATGGATTTCCTAAATAAATGTATGATGCGTAATGGACGACGTTGACAGCGTTGTGATAGTGATATCAAAGCATCGGCAGCTGAAAGTCCAGAACCAACAATCAATACTGGATCGGACGAATGTGTTCGCGATGTCGACAGCATTGGTATACGCCAACATGGCAACAATTGTGTATGTCGTATGATCACATCTAATTTGGTCAATGAATGTAACACAAATGGAAATGTTTCGCCTGCTATGTTCAACATACTAGGAGATGTCGATGTGCCTTTGGCCAACACTACTCGCTGGGCTCGATATCGGACACGATATTTTTGTTGCCCAGATGTTGACAATTTTCTGCATACAGTATCGACAATAAAACATTGACTTATTGGATCCCAATCTAAAAGTGTTGCACGGGTGTGATTGCGAAAATATTGATCCAAACCGAAATGATGAACGTATCGGCGATAATAATCAGCAACCACTCGATAAGGAATACGATTATCCAAAGGAAGTTCACCGTCACTATCGTTTTGATGATTCTCATCATCATATATAGGCAACACAGGCAACTGCATCAATGACCGACGTGATAATGTGAGAACTTCGGTAGTATGACTGGAACGAAGTTTAGACGAACAAGTCTTGGCAATGGCATGCCAAATACCTCCAGGTGATCCAGACGAACCGATCACCAAGTGATCAACATGACGATCAGGTCTATATGTCCATTTCAATGTGGAAGGATTTCTTTCACCGAGATCGGCATTTGGATGTTGAAGTTGATCCATCAATACGGAAACTGGATTGGCTCCAGTACGTCCTACAAGATCTTGACTAAGTTCTTTCAAGTCGGATTCCATTAATGATCGTAGTTTTGGTTTCGAAATGGACTCTTGATCATAATCATCATGATGGCAAGAATCCGAAGCACAATGATATAAAAGTCGATCATGTAGATTTTGCAATGTTGGATTTGCTCCATTCTCATTATGTGATTGAAAATCTTCTGGTGAATAATAAGGCCAATGACCGGCTAATAAAAAACTTAAAGTTATCGCAGATGGACCATTACCGATAACCAATACATTAGTGGATTCGATTTGATCAAACGATGAATCATTGTGTTTATGAGAAGTCAGCGTTAATGTGCCTTTTTTGGCCATAACGATTCAATTATGGAAGAATTTCAGACAGAAACAAAAATCGGGTTAACCAAACGAAATTAGGACTGTCTGTCAGGACGATGACTGCCGGCAGTTTTTATATGGAAGCGGCAATTGCTGATGATGCTGAGGATAAAACAGTGATGTGAATTCAGCACAACAACATTAATCATATCATCAATAAATGATATTACGGCAATATATTTGATTTTAAATCACAAGTTGTACGAAAATGACATGCATCATTTAGCTACTGATCAGTCAGTTGATATTGTCGGATTGTTGATAAAACCAGAACCCAGAAAAAATCCAGAAAAAAAATGAAAAAGGATAAACGATTATGCGCAATCCGATCTTCGATCGAACAACATCTACATATTAATGCGGATATACATCATCAATATTCGAATAATTTGTGCATCATTTCTGTCGACACGAATCTAAATCAAGTGTTGACAAGATATAGATGTAACCGGTAACGGTTGATGGCAAATTCGTTGGTAATTCTAGTGAAAAAATAATTTTTTATTTGTTTTTCGATGTGAACATCATCAAAATTCATTGAGATAATAGTGAATATATTCAAACTTTACTTGAAGATTATGGAATAAAGAAAGAGAGAGAGAGAGAAATAATTATATCAATAGCGAAGACATCAAACCAAAAAAAAAACTAACATGACGAAACGACGAAATCACCACTATAATCAAGAGACTAAATGTGGCAAACAAACCGAACTTGGATAAAACTGTACGACCATAGTAGATTATTATATATATAGCTAAAGTTTACATTTATTGTATCATGCTGTTTGACTTCTTCTTCTTCTTCAAATTTCAAATTTTGTTTCATCTACATTTTGCCACATATTTGTTACCGAAAGTGACAATGTACATGTATATATCAAACTATGTGTGTTATATACCACATCGGAAAGATTGATTTTTTTATTATTATTATTAGTAGTAGTGATACTATATTCTATAAAAATATTCCTGTTTTGTCTGTCTGTTTATATACGGAATCGAATCGAAAAGTACATAATAAATGCATTTCATCATTGAAATTGGATTTTAATTTTCTTTGTTCATAATAATAATAATATATTATTGTTTCTACTACAGTTACAATAAAAACAAAAACAAGGTCATCGTCATGATTATAACGATGATGATTCATATAATTGCCATCGCCATTTTGTTATTGATTTGAATGTTCAACAAGATCCCTGTCCATTGGATTTCGTTATTGATCTGTTTTTTTTAATTTAGTTTGTTTTTTTCATTTTTTTTTTGCTATTTATATTTGTTTGTCCCACTTTGGAACGATACACATGTACAGGTTTGTCGCTATGGAAATTGAAAAAATGAATTATATCTAAATTGATAGAGTTTTTTTTTATCCAATATCATCATCACGATATAATGAGGACAATTTTTTTTTTAATCCTTCAATTGTTAATCAAAAAAAAAAAAAATGATAATTATCCAAAAACGGAAGAGTTTTTATCCATTGTTCATAGTTATGTTAGCTGTCCTTTTGGTTCATGAACCATTAGTTTGTTTACATTTTATCAACATTGTTAACATGATGATAAATTATAATCAAATTTCAATTGGTTGCATTGCGTTGCATAATGTCATTTATACAAACAAAACAAAACAAAAAAAATGCAAAAATAAAAATCAAGATTAGATAATAAAATGAATTCAATGATATTTTATCCGTACTGATCACGTATCCTCTTTTTTCAACAAAAAAAAAAAAAAAAAAAAAAAAAAATACAAACAAAGTACAGAACATAAAAAGTACAAAAAATCATTTTAAAAAATTATTTTTTAATTTTCAGCCGTCGTAATCGTCTGGTCACAGTAACCATGTATGAATGAGCATTGTTTTTTTTTGGTGGGGTGTGGTGGAGTTGATCATCAAGTTAACCCGAAGATGATCGATCTATGCGATCGTAAATTAAGTGCAAATAAACAATCAAAATTTAAATCTTAACAAGGATAAATTTGAAAAAAAACGATAACGATTATCGAGAAATTAATGTAGATGTATACATGTGTAATCATAAACATCAACAAAAAAAAACCAGTAAACATTAGTTGAATCCTTCGTCCTCGCTCTTTATATATTCCTTTTGCTTGGCCTAAAAATAAATTTCATTTTTTTTCTTGTGTCTCACTAAAATTCGATCTAAATAAACATGGTAAATATATTTTGAGGATCCATTTCTATCAACAAAAATGTTTACTATCCATTTTGTTTTGTTGTTAATCACGAGTCTATTCATAAGAATTAATAACAAAAATTTTTATTATTAAAATGTTTATAATGAAAAGCAATTTAATGTCGAAAACATCGTTCCATATCATCACGACGAAGTAGATAGGCAGGCAAATATATTTCTTCATTATTTGTGCGACAGATTTTGTTGTTTTTATCATCATCATCATCAAGGTCGATTCTTTTTGACAGCTCGGATGTTTTATTTTCATCATTCATTAATGTCTGTTGGTTATGATGTTTGAGACTACTACAAGGAAAATTTCGTATCGACAATGATGGATTTGGATGTGTATTTTCAGGACGATCAATCGATGTATAACCATAATCATAAAGGGGACAATAAGGCACTTGAAGATTGAGTAAGAATTGCCACACATTTTGATATGTCCAATCTAATAATGGATTAATACGAATAAATTCGGGCCAACCCTCATCTGTGGGCTGTACGGTGGTTAATGTAGAGCCAATTTTTTCATCAAAATCAGTTCTACGACAGCCCATAAAAACTAACTCAAAAGATTCATTTTTACGGACATCATAGAGAGCAGATTTAAAATCTTCTCCTGGATAAATGTTCATTCGGCAACCATAGAATGCTTGAATACGTCTCAAGTAGAGTTCTTGTTCTGGAAATAGTTCGGATGTTTTTATCCACAATAAATTTATCAAAGTATCTGAATGATTGTCATTGAGATTAGCAAGATGAATGGTAGCCAATGTGTGCAGCAACACGGTACAATCTTTACCACCATTGAAACTAAGGCACCATCTTTTGGGATCAGAATGGACCTTTTTAATTTGTTCCCGACAACATTCGAATAGGCCATGTACTTTCGTATCGATCGCGGCCAATTGTTTCAATCGTCTATAGGAATCACGGGAATCGAAACGAATCGAAGGTAGAAAGTTGAGAAAATTATCATTCAAAAGAGACAATTGTAATGAAAGCTGACGAATTCGATGACGGACATGAGCTTGTATCCAGGCAAATTTTTGTCGATCTTGATTATCATCACTTGAATCTTTCGAATTAATTTGATAAAAGAATTGACATTTGATTAAATTAGAATATTTATCGTAGTCATTGCCAATAAATTTATCGTCAAATTCATATAAACGTAGTAAATCTGTCGGAATATTGCGAAAATAATCAAAACATTCAATGATTGTGAACGTATATGAAATAGAAGGCTTTCCATTAATCATCATTGGATATAATTGATGAAATAAATCAGAAAGTAATGATTGAAATGCGTCGATCATTGAGCGCTCCAAATAGAATGAAAATCGATATTCCAAAGAGATTTGCACATTATTCGAACATTTTCTATTCATATTTTGAGCTTCGGCATTCAAAATGAATTCATTCGATGGCATCGTCGTTGACGAATTGACAGGATTCTTAGACATTCACGAAAAAACTCTAAATCAAAAATTTTAGAAAAAAATAAAATGCTATACATTTGCTTGACAATTTGTTTTTATTCAGATGAATCTTCTTTCAACCATCCATAAATATTTATTGCCATCTATTTTCCAATTTTTTATTAATGCAATTTAGATACGGCAAGATCTAGATGGCAAATAGTAAAAACTAGGCATAAGTATCTTGTAAATTTTTTTTTTCAAAAAAAAGTTTCACTTACTATTGTTATATGAGGTAATTTAATCAGATTGTATTGCAATAAATAATCAACAATTATATTATCAATGTAGTCACAAAAAATGGCATGATTTTAAGCCATCATTCAAACGGTTGTAAATTGTATTCAAAGTATTATATATTTTCTTTAATTTTCTATAATATTGTTTTGTCATCATCGTGATGATGATGATAATTAGCCATAAACACGACACCCTCGATTTAATTGATGAAAAATAAAATTGCGATGTAGAAAAAAAATAAATATTTCACTTTAATCAGAAATCAAAATCAAAAAAAAAACAAATTGTTCGACCGACAAAATATATCGAACATACAAAAAAAACATGTGAACACACACACGTCAACAATGGAAAGTTTAACCTAAAAATGAACAAATGCATTGAAATGAAGTCAACATTGAAGGGAGAAAAATATTTTAGTTATCAATGATAGATGGCATTCATGTCAAAGAATTTATTTGTTTTTCTCAACTGAGCAACATTTTTTTTTATAATTTCACAAGGCCTGATTCTATTTTCGAATTTGAATATATTTGGAAAAATTCTAAAAATATCCAATGAATAATAATTTCTCAAATACATTAGGTCAACCATCTTTTGGGATGACCACTGTTAATTATCAGCAACAGCAGCAGCAGCCACAACAAACTTCGAATACCCATCAGATTTTATTTGTCCAACCGCAAGATCAACAACAAGCAACTACAGCGGTACGTGGGACAGCAGCGGTTACCGCTTCAACTATTCAACAGTTTGCCAACAATCAATTTACCACATTTGTACAACCACAGCAGCGGCATACGAATCAATCATCATCGTCGACATCAACCACCGGTCATCTAAAGAATGTCGCCTGTATGCAAAGAGAATTGGAACAACTGAAGAAACAAAATCTTGAATTACAGGACGAGATTGAAAAACTTCGTCAAGCATACACCGAATGTCAATATCAAGCCATGACTGATAATGTTAAAATGTCCAACTATTGGGAGCAAATACAGCAACTACAAAAAGAAAAACGAGAGCAACATTCTCAGCCCTTTTATCATAGAAATTCCGAAGATCAATCACAATATTGTGATGAATGTAATTTCGAAATCAAATCTCAGGTTGCACTATTCATTCATAAATTGAATCACTGTTTTGTATCGCGATCGGGTATTCCTCGTCATCTTCAACTATGTACTCGTTCATTTACAACAATGCCCGATGATTCAATACGATTCAAATACCAATGTCATCACTGTGAAATTGATTCCAAACGAGAATTTCAGCGGCATGAAATTTACATGCACATCTATCAGTTTCATACATTCGATGTGCCATATAAATGTAAATTCTGTTTTCTATTTTTTACATCCAATGCCTATCTTAATGATCATCTGGCTGAAAAACATTCGTTACCAAACAATAGTAGCAACATTACGCGAGATCATGCAAAAAATCGTCGAAATCGCAATGAAAATAAAATGGCCGCTTCAACCGTCTCAATTCAAACAGTTTCAAACGCTGATTGCATGAATTCAACGTTACCATTAACGGCTAGTAGTACACTTTTGAAAAAATCATTTAATCACTCCGTAAAACGAAGCCGTACGGACCATCAAAGACCTGCAAGCATTAGTGAAATTTTTCAACGATTAGTCTGCGAAACTTCAGATTCGAATGTTTCTACGAAGAAAGACAATATCAGGTCAGAATCTTCATCGACTAGTGAAGCGAGCAAGACATTCGAATCTATGAAACGTGATGCTAATATTCAGCAAATTATGGCTGATTTGGATAACGATAAATCACTTAATTGTAAATATCCAGGTTGCAGCTTTTCGGCCACCACAAGAAGCCATCTGAAATTTCACATTAGTGCTCACTTGATGAGCAAATACAAATGTCCATATTGTACATTTGTTGCCAACCGTTTAGTGGAAATCAAACGTCATATAATGAAATCGGCAAAACATTCCAGCCATCATGTTTATCTCTGTTCGGGATGTGATTTTGCCACCGATTGTGAAAAGACATTCCGAGCTCATCATGTCCATTCGCATGATTCAACGGCAAATGTCAATGAGGTTATTGAACGAATGTTTCTAAATGAATCAAACGGAATTATTGGCCAGACAATTAGTTCGACACAACAACCGAGTTTGGATAATTTGTCCAATAAAGATAGCAATAAGTAAGGATCACTGAATATATATTGATTTTGAACAAATATATAACATGGTGCCGAAACATGATTTGAAATGACTTTTTTTAAATAATTTACTGTATGTTTTATATGTAAAACTACAATTAATCACGAAACTACCTTGCAGTGTTGTCATTTTAGGTCAAAATCAATTGACTTTGATCTAAATATTTTTTCCGCTTATAATATATGTCATCATCATTTTTGCCCAATAAAGTGAACAATGTAACCATAAAAAAATCATTTCCCACTGCCATCAATGTTCTCAGTTTGAATTTTTGCTTCTATAATAAACAAAAAAAAATCAAATACAAATAATTACCATGTCACCACAATTAATTATTATAAATAATCATAATCATCATAATAATTTACCATAGTTTCCACGTTCATTCAAACGTGCTTGTATCACAGTACGTCTAAGGATTTCAGCCGAATCATAGCCAACCTGAATAGATTCACGAATCTCATCTGGATTCTGAAGGTGAGATCTTTTTCGAAATTCTTCTCGTGCTTTTTGATACGTCAAACGAATTGCATCATTATCGTTTCGAAAAACTTGATTAATAGTTTTCAATATTTGCTTATAGCATCGTAAAGTTTCTGATCGTAAAACTGGTTGGCTCATTTTTTTTCATCAAAATGTTCAAAAAAAAAACAGCTGAACTTTAGTTTATTCGAATACATTGTTTACGAACAGTCTTTATGTTGGATTTAAAATATTTTTTAGTTCAAAAAATTTAGATGACTATTGTAAAAGATTGAAACCATAATTGTAACCAAACTGGATACAGGAATAGAGAAACGATTGGAAATGCCCAATTATCAAAAAGATACCAATCTTCAATGAAATTCATCATTGTTCGTGGTTGTGATTGAAAAGAACGTTTCAAATGTTTCAATAGTAATAAAGGCAAATCATTGATTGGCAGTTTACGTAATGATTTGAAATCTGGATCCATCCAAATGGACAAACCAAACAGACAAATAAGATGTAGTGTGATTGGATGAATTAATAATAAAGTTATTGTTTTGAAAAGGTTACATATGCGTCGTAACAATGTTGAAGATTTCGTTGATCGATGGTGATCTTGTATCGAAAAGATGGACAATAATGGCACATAGATTGATGCCAATGCTATGGCTAATGAAATATTGATCAAAGATATGCTCGTCAGCAAAAGTAAAGTGTTTAGAAGAGTAACCATTGATTGTAGATTATATTGGTTAATTGATTTTTTAGCATGTGCTGTCATTAATCCCGGTAAATTCAATGAAATAATGGCCAATATGATAAAAATTACGTAGGCCAATATTGCTACCGGAACATCAAACATAATCATATTGAAAATGTTCAATCGTGTAAGAACCAAAGGAACGATACCAACAGCTAACAAACCAAACAAATGTGCAAGAACACAAGGCTTAAAAGAGGCCCAGAAATCAAAATTATTATCACCGGTGATATGTTGGCCGATGCTATTGTAACTTTGAAAATAATAGAAAAGAGAACGACATGCGAGGGGCAATGCCAAAAGACCAAATACGATCATATACGATGAAATCGATATGAATCGACGAGTCGAAGCAAGTAAATAGAAGTAAAAACTTCGATTAAATTTCTCCATCATATTGTTCAATGATCGTACGATGCCTTCAATGGATCGACCTAGCTGTAGTCCATTTACCATAACATATTTGGCTCGTCGATCAGACGCTTCTAAGGTGATGGCTGAAATGGCATACTTTTGAAATAAACCATGGGCACCTGTTGGCAGCATGGTAGCTTGCGTGGCCATCATTGATACCATCGTACGAGCTTTTCGCTTCCAATTTTCCCATTCATTTTCAGTCATATAGAAAGATTCGCCATGATATACTACGGGCACTGCTTCACGATTACATAGTTCAACAGCAACATTGAACAAATCCAAATTCGGTAGTTGTCCATTAAGACCTTCGAGTTTCACCTGTACATATGGCGGCGAAAATGATTGGAGCTCAAGATTCAATGCAGCCTGAATGGCACCTGCTTTGGCAAGGAGAACATCCGATTGTAGATACTGATCGAATCGATTCTCTAGACCCTGATAAGATTGTAGCCAGGCTTGTATACCAAGAAGTTCGTTACCAGAAATCAGATAGATAATATCTTTGGCCCAATAATTTTTGGCTAAGTGCAATGAATGAAGAGGAGAGTAAAGCAAAAGTTAAAAGCAGTAAATAGAGGTAAAATTATTATATTTACTTTTAAAAACTTGGCCAACGAATACATTAAAGCGATCGATGGCAGTGTTGAACCATTTGGATTGGATGGCGATCGATATGGTGCCGAAATTACAATCGATTCAGTACTAGCAGCTCTTGGTGCCCGAAAGATGGCATACAGATTGAGACCTTCCACGGCTGGCTTTTCATAACCGAAAGGATATGTGAATCGAAATTTATGTTCATAAACTTCAAGACCAATGTCTTCAAATTGTTTTCGCAAAAATTTCACTGGAAAATATTTCTCATGAAATTCGGCACTCAGATTTGTAAGCTGATGAACAAGCCGTTCGGCTTGATTAGCGGCAACAAATTCACGGCTAGCCAATCCTGGTAGTAATGAATTATCATGGAATGATGTTTTCTGTGGTTCATGGATTAAATAGGCAAAAAATGACCACCCAGCCAAATATGATATCAAAGATATGATGACATTGAATCTGACCAATTTCTTGATGAAAGTTAACGCTTTGTTATTATCGTCAGAGGTTAGGATACTCATTCTTTCTTCTGATTGTGATTCTAACTATGAATGATATAAAGAATATATACCTCATACACAATCTATAGATCGATTCTGGCGATAAATTAGAGCTTTTTTTTGACATACATACTTTATTTAAAACATTTCATTTATGAACAGCCGATATGGTCATGCACCGGCACAATGATGGCTCATCACGATTTAGGATTGGCTACAATCTCAACATAATTGTTAACGTTTCGATAAACATTAGGGTACCTCATAAACAATGCTATGTTAGCATTCCATAAGCTTATATTTGTGACTATAACTGTGATATGTATAGAAAAAATCAATAGCATGGTATAAACACATCATATTTGTGAATGTTATTGCATAATGATCTAAAATTGATCCACCACAATCGTATGCTGCTATGACACAACATTTAGTCTACTTCTACCCAGATCATAAGAAGTAAAACCATGTAAACATTGTGACCGCTCATCGTTAGCGAACATCGTGTTTTATGTGTGTGTGTGTATCGTCGAACCACCAAGAAACCAACCAGACAATGTGAATGAAAAGAAAGAAGTGAAATTTCTGATTATTGATCAAATCAATGATTATTGCTTGGTCGATCACTCCTCTCTTTCTGCTTATATGTGTAAATTATTTTCAACTTTTAAAGTAGAGAAAGATTATCTTGTCCTAAGTTTAATCGGGTTCATTTGGAGCCTGTTTTTCTCGTTCCAAAAATAAGTAGGGAATTTCACAAAATTCAAACTTTTAAAAAGTGCTGCTCAAAATTTCAAATAAAATAGACCATATTTTAAACTAAAAATTTTTTGAAATTAAAAAAAAAATAAAATCAAACAACTCATCCACATTTAGTCGATTTGATTTTTTCAATTTTCAAATTGCTATGAATTCATCCGGAGGTAAGTCTGAATGAATATTAATTCTTGTATATCATTGTCAAGTAATTTAATTATTCATTCCGCAGCATCGGTAGTTGTACCGCGAAATTTTCGCCTCTTGGAAGAATTGGAACAAGGACAAAAAGGTGTTGGTGATGGGACCATTTCCTGGGGTCTTGAAGACGATTCTGATATGACTTTAACATATTGGACCGGTATGATAATTGGACCACCAAGAGTAAGTTTTTTCTGGTCATTATTGAATCGATTATAAATTTGTTCCCCATATATTTTCAGACGCCATATGAAAATCGAATTTATAGCCTAAAAGTTGAATGTGGTTCAAATTATCCGGAAGAACCACCAAACGTTCGTTTTATATCGAAAATTAAGATGAACGGTGTCAATGATTCCAGTGGAGCTGTAAGTTGATTTATTTGATTTGAAAATTAAACATTAAATAAATTTGAATTTCATAGGTCGATCGTCGTGCCATATCAGTGTTGAATCGATGGCAACGTAACTATTCAATCAAGACCATTTTGCAAGAGCTTCGACGAGCAATGACATTGAAGGAGAATATGAAACTTAATCAACCACCTGAGGGAACAACATTCTGAAAAAATTATACTAAAGTAATCCAACCGATCGATCTAATTAATGAATGAACGATCCGTGCCCCATCCATCCATTCATCCATACCTTTGCATTCACATGCAAATTGTATGTCGATCTGTTTACGTACGAAGGTGTGTTGATTTTGATTGTACGATTCTCTACCAACTTATTATTTAACAAACCAATCAGCAAACAAACAGATGTCTTTGGTGCCTAGGATTTTCTCATCATCATCATCATCATCATCATATGATCATTTCCATCGCAATCTCAGCTTTGTCGTTTTTTCCATCTATTCATTGTCATTCATTATTCATTTGTCATTACACTTCCCAATCCCCAATCATCTATCTTGATAATAAAACCCCTACTTCCTATTTTCTTCACGAAGAAACACAAAAAAAACACTGGAAGCAAAGGTCAACAAAAACAAAATTGTTACAATTTTTTCTCCCTTTTTTCCACAAAAATTATCTCCTTTCACATTTATACATCTTGCCTGAAAACACACATACACACCTAATCCGACAATTTAAAATATGTTGATTTCAAATTTTTGCTGTTGAAATAATGTCGCATATTTTTAATTTTTTTTTCTATTCAAAAATTTTTTCTCTTTGTTTCGTTTTTCACGATATAATAATATCGAAGTAACATTTACTGCTTCGATTCTTATTCCAGATTGATGTTCAATTCTTTCTTTTTTTTTATTTGAGTTTTTTCCACTTTGCGATAATCGCATCAATATCATCACAATGTTCATTACAATTAGCAAACAACAAGCATCAGCAGCAATATATGGAAAACAAGCATATACTACATTAATAGTTGTTCTTTTTTTTGAACAATTGATCCATTATCTATTATTATTATTATTATTATGATCTATGATAATATTTGCAACTAATTATTTTCCATTATTATACATGAATAATGTTTTTTCTAAATTATTTTTAAATAATTTAAAGATTTTTTCTCATTACCGATAGATGGCGAGAGCTTGTAGGGTTTAAAAAAATTGAAATGTCAGTAAAATTCAATCGAATTAGTCTAAAAAGGCCAATCAATTGGATCAAATTATCATCGTGTTTGGTCGTTGTCATTGTTGTTGGCTTAAGATGTTGTGATCAAATATAATGGTTTTTTTTCTTAACAATGAGATGATGCAAAAACAATCGGGTTTTTTTGTAATAATTATTAAATATTGATTATCCTATATTTGTATTTGTGTCTTCATCGCGACCATCCGGTTTCTAGTTGTTGCCCGTAATTTGAACACTTGTTTAATGATGATGATCTGGATTCCCGAAATATAATATACAGAACATAGCGTGCAATGACTTGGTTGATGTTGCTTTCTCTGATTTTCTATGGTTTTTCTAGGTTAGAAATTGATACTTTTTTGTCTTAAATATGTGATGATTCGATTCTATTCCACTTAAGTATTATGTGCTTATGAGATAAATAGATTTGATTTCTTACTAAGTGGTGGCCAACAAAACAAAGATATCAAGATTCAGTTATAATGAGAATGTCGTCGTAATTATAATAATCTGATTTATGATCCATAGAAAACTATAAAAGACAAATCGATCATCAATTTAAATATCAATCGTAATCATTACTTTATCACAACGACATTTGATAAATTGAAAAACTATTCGAAATGATTAAATTCTATTTTCTATTTTGTTCATTCTATATCGGTAGATTTTCATAATCTTATTTCATTGATTAACATTTAATTATTCAAATTTTTTTTTTGTAGTTTCAGTATGGATGTTACCAGTGTCCGAATTGGCCGGCATGCATCAATTGGACGAAGGAATGATTAACGTCGATGATAATAAACCAACTAATTTGACCATTTGTGTGGATAAAAAAGATGGTACATTGCTTGGTGACGAACATGATCGTACATTATTTTATGAATGTTCAAATGGTTTGGCATTTCCATTCCATTGTCCATCGAATTTGATTTTCGATGAAACACGTGGTGTTTGTATATTTGATCCAAATTCTCCAACAAAACGACCACCAAATCATGGTAATTCTACATACAATTGTACCGGTAAAGAGGACGGTTTCTATCCGGATGAAAATGATGCTACAAAATTTCATGAATGCGTTAATGGTTATCCATATGATTTTAAATGTCCACCAAACACCATATATGATGTAAAACGAAAAGTCTGTGCATATAAATCGATTGAACGACCAAAAGAAGAAAATGAACAACCACAACCTCAACCTCAACAACAACAACATCGAGCAGTGCGCGATGTAATTGAATCAACAACGGCAGAAATAAAGGAAGAATTACCAACTGAACAATCTGTACGACGACATCGTCGTAATGATGAACAACAGCAACAACAACATCATCATCATCAATTGGAAGAATTTGCTAAAGAAAAAAATATTGATCTTCATATTATCGAAACAACCACACAGGAAAATTTCGATGTATGGATTGACTGATTGATTGATTGATTGATTAAATGAGATCAATACAAATAAAATCGATTTTGAAATTAAATAAAATTAAATGAACAAACTTAAAGCAATGAAAAAAAAATTTTTCAATTTTTATCCACATTTGAATTTATTTTCTTTGGCGTCATAAATGATGATTACAAATTGAGTGTATGGTGGTATGTTTCATGGTATGATTTTTCATTTGACGACTATTTTTTTTTATTCCTGGGATTTTGCATAGATTATTACATTATTTTGTTTTTCAACATATCAAAGTTTTGTTTTTTTTCAGAGTATGTACGTTTTTTTTCGAAATTTAATTTTTGTCAATTATAAGATTTCAGTTTTTTTTTCATATTTTGTTCCAAATTTGTGTGTGTGTGTGTGTAAGTGTTAGGCATCTATTAGTTGCAAATAGTAGTAGTTGAAATAAAAACGTAAAGCAACAACAAAAAAAAAATTTCCAAATGTGTATAAGTGTGGGTGTAGATAATTTTTTTGTTTTGTTTTGTTTTGTTTAACCATTTTTATAATTTTTTATAAAATATAGATGTGTATATAATAAATGGGTGTGGTGAGTAGGCGTGTGTAGATATATTGTGGTCATATATAATAATCATCATATCAAGTGGTGTTTTCAAGACAAATGGCCACCAATAAATTTCATCTCTAGAGTCGTTTGGCAAATGTGAAACCAACCGAACATAACATTAAACCGGCAATAATGTCCAAAAACTATGATGATGATGATGATGATAGGGTTATTATTAGATTAATATAGAATCGAATTTTATGAAAACAAATGAATGGCAATAATAAAACTTACCATGACAGCAATATTGTTACCATCTTCAGCTTCGAATGCATTCTTCGAAAAGATAGATGTATTGATTCCTATTACGCTTTTGCATGGTTCACTGAAAGCAATGTATGCTCCCCAAAACATAACGCCGGCTACCCCCAAAATGGCGATTACTACCTGAAAATCAATTACTCATTGATTTTTTTTTTCGAATATTATTTGAATTGACAACTTACTAGGAAGAAAACGATTTTGATATCATAAAGAACATTGGCGATGTTGAAAAAGGCCAAAATGAAAAGGATACCACCGGTAATGATACCAGCTATTTGTATTGGTGATAATTTGTCATAATTCTGGCCAGTGCCGATATTACAATCAGCATTTTTAAGGATGAAAAAACTGGCTGCTGTTGCTAGCTATGATTATTACAAAAAAAAACCACAAAATTTATTCATTCATTCAAACAGAAATGGTCAAAAAAAAAGTCAAAGTACAAAGACAAACACAGGAAATTGGACACAAAAATATTTAATGATGATCGGTGATCAATCAAAAATCTAATAATTAGAATTAGAACGGAACTTACACAGACAAATAGGCCCAAAAAGCCATAATAGTTAAGATGTTTGGATGAAGGCATAATTAAATTATATCAGATCGTCAAGACTATATTGATATCTGGTACAAATGAAAAATCGTATGATTACACAAACAAACAAAAAAGATCTCACGAAACAAAATCGGAAAAAACCAAGCGAACAAACTATTCGATAAGCAACAGTGAACACAAGATTATACTAATGAATGAAATGAAGACTTTTTGCCAATATTTTTTTTTTAGAAGGATTGGGTGGTGGTTTGATGGTGTCGAAGATGCCAAGTAGTAGCAACTATTGGGATGGGAGATACACACACTTTTTTTTGCAAATTAAACTAGCAAGTATTTATGTTATATACGTAGAATAGTTTAGTGACACACTTACAAATATATACGTTTCTTTTTTGGCGCGTCACGAAATGCAATAGCTGATGTTGTTGTTGATGTTCCAAGGTCACGATGAATCTCAGCCATCCAAAGCGAAATTGGAAAAAAAAGAAAAACACATACAAACATATGTGTGTATGGATGAATTCAACAAGTTTTTATTGTGTGTGTGTGTGTGTAGGAGGATGCTAATTGTAGAATGGATCGAATGTAAAATTTAAAAAGTGAATACTGGACAAATGGATGTTGCTATCAATGAATTGGAATGTAACTTTCTTTCTGTTCTATCCACATGTTCAGGGTTGTTTCCATACACTTTATGTTTTCATAATGATTATCGTTGTCAATTCATCACGGATGGATGGATGATGGCTTTTTAAATTCAATGTAATATGGGTAGTTGCTAATGTAAAATTTTGTTTGTTTGCCATTTTGAATTTTGTATTTGTTTTCGTTTTGGAAACTTTTTTTCGTTAGCACCACGACAACCGACTACGACGACTCAAATAGGATGTCAGAAATGTATGATTTCATGAATGTATTGTGTGTGCAAAATTTTTGTTCAAAATATATAGGATCAAAATTCAATATTCATTCAGTCAGGCAACTATCCCCCCTCCCCCAACAAACATCGAACCAACGTTTGGTTCGGTTGGTGATTATTGGTGAGAAAAAAAATATGCAGGCAGATGAACAGATGTTTGGGCATTAGTGTATCCACCACACATCAAGGTGACTGGTTTATTTTTCGGTTTTGTTATTTTCTTTAGTTTTTTTGGGCGGTGTCGCCATTCTTTTACTTTCCATTTAGATCATCATCATCATCATTATCAGTAAAACGGACGTGATTACTATACTGTAATAATGAATGGATTCATTTAATGATTCATAATCATAAACCATTGTCAGTCAGTTGGTCATTGACAGTTGACAAACATTCAGTCAGAGACATTGAGAAAAAAATTATTTATAATCGAACGGATCAAAGTCTGCCCAAATACAAAGTATAGTTAGATATTGGAATACGTTATACAACAAAAAAATCAATAAATAAATAAAAATTTATAATGGAAAGGAGAAAAATATTTCATTATTTAGTTGCAATCGCCAGTTATCATGAGATATATGATTATTATACAAATGCGTATTTATTTTACTGCAGTGATACATAAAAAATAGAGAGAGAGAGACAGACTGATTAATAAAAAAAATAATCAATTAAAACTCATCGATTCTATTCGATCGAGTGTGGTGTTCTCACTTTTTAGAGAATCCAAATATTTCCACTTATTTGAATACATTTGAAAATCCTATTGCCATGGCTGCTTTTGTAGATCAGCAGATTAGCATATGCATTATTCTTGTTATATTATTTTGTTTTTATTCTTGAAAATGTCGAGATTGAATATAAAAATCCCGAAACAATTGTTGGCAAATATTCGTACAGCTAAATAAATCGACCAAGCTTGATTGGATGCGCTTGTTCAGCGTTATATTTTTGAAAAGTTTGTATAATTTTAGCAACAACAATATTGCCCAATCTGTTTGATATGCATGCATAAAAGAAAATTCTTTTCCATCGAAAAAAAAATTACAATGTACCGGTAATTGTTTTTCAACAACGAAAGATGATTCATTCATTGTATAAAAAGTTTGGAAAATTTAATAACGAATGACGAACAGATATCATCAACAACAACAACAACAACAACAATAATAATAATAATATTCAACCAGTCAAGTTGTTGATTTTGAATTCGAATGCTCTGTTGTTAGTGAATTATTATTTTAGAGAATGGTATGCTATTACTTAACTTGCGTTACATGTATGCATACAGTAACCATATATTTTTCATGTACACTCGATCAAAAAAAAAAAAAAAAATCAATTTATGATCATCATCATTATCATGATCATGATGACGGTGTCATATGATTGTGTAGAAAAAAAAACTTTGATCGTTATCAAAAGAAATGTCATGATCTGATCAAACAAATTGATTGATTGATCAAGAATAATTGAAAGAATGGTCGTCATCAAAAGGGATAAATTTTTCATTCAACTTTTCCTTGTTTATGAAAACCATATCGAAAGCATTGGCCATAAATGGAATATAATTGAAATAGACAGACACAGAGAGAGAGAGAGAGAGAGAGAGGGTGAATGCATAACCAAATATTAAACAAGTATATATGGAAAATAAGTGAATAGATTGAACGACGAAAAAAAATAACTAGCATCATAAAATTTATCATATCATCATCATTAACATTCTCATACGCAAAAAACATTCGATTCGATTCTAATGTCCAATGAGTAAATAGATTGAGAAAAAAAATGTATGCTGTCAATCCGAATATGGTTTTTTACCATCATTTCCGTTTTGAACGGTGATCAATTTGACAATGAACAATGTTCAATAGGTTTTTTCATCTAGAATAAATCGTTCCTGTGAATGACCTATGATTTTTTTGTTCTCTCGATTCTCAAAATGACTTAATTTTTTCATTCATTGATCGATCGATCCAAAATCAATCCAAAATGGCAAGACACGCAAAAGAAAACAGCAATCACGTATCATTAATAAATGACCAAGTTGGTTACATGAATAAACTTTAGATAGCTTCATTTCTTGCTATAAAACAACAATACGTTTTTCGTTTCAAGGTTCCATCACTATAACCATTATATCAATTCTATAGACGTAAAATGGATAGATGGCACGCAATCATTACTGCCAATTGGGGTGTGTTTAATTCACTATCTAGACACACATTGACAAGCATCTGCACGTCAATGACAATCAATGCCTGGTTCATTAATCAATATTAGTAATGTAATAAAGATAGACATGAATGACGGAATTTGTCATAAATTGTACATTTTTGAATTCCAAAATTCAGTTTCCATTTTTTTAAAAAAAGTACAACAGTGCCATCTATTTATTTATTAATTTATTTTATTAATTAATTTATTTCAAATTTTAAAAAATACGTATGTATGTTTAAAGAATATTTTCTTTGTTTGTCACATTCAATGATTTAGGAACCATTGTACGACGAACACCATCAGATATTTGTTGATCGTCTGCTGATGTCAATTCAATCGGTTTGAAGGCCCGTGCAGATTTCGATGTTGATTGTGATGATGAAAGTGATGACGACGGTGGTGGCATTTGATGTTTGACTTCAGCAACTCGAGCTTCATCAGCATTAATAACAGGAGTTTGTTCGGAATCGATCACCAATATTTTTTCTTTTGTCAGATAAGAAAGCCTAAGAAACGGTAAAATCTCATTAAATAAATTGTCATACTATTTGTTTGTCTCTTACCTATCAGTAATATTTTTCAAAATCGCCTTGACTTTTTCGTTTTTGATCGAATCTTTTTTGTTTGAATCAATTTTGGCCATCATACTGGTAATGTCACTAATTAATTTTTCTCCACCTTCTTTGTGATGATCAATTTTACTCTGTAGAGCCGGAATCAAACATTTAGAAATCTTATATTTATGTGAGACTTGTTTAAACTCTTTCAACGTCACGCCCAACTGCTCACAAGCTTGATCGAGAGATCGTTCCGTTTCAAAATTTGATTTTTTCAATGTTTTACATTCTTCATTCAAAACATTAATTTGTTCTTGTTGACGTAGGACATGTTCACGTTGTTGGCCAAGTTCGTTTTGACAACGAACAAATTCATCATTACATTCGGCAAGTTTGACTTGCATTTGTTCCAGATTCAATTGTGCTGTTTGCAGATTTTTTTCCGACGATAAAAGCTCTTTATCCAAAGATTCTTTCTCGTCTTTATCCACTCGTAAATGTTTTTGCAATACTAAAAGCTTTTGTTCTAAAAGGGATCTGATAAATGAAATTTCTTATTAAAAAACGAAAAAAACTAGTTAAACACTTTACCTTTCTTCCGAGAATTGTTTTTCCGCTTTTTTAAACTCATCGGCCATTTTCTCATGTTTCGCCATAATTGTTGATATTTTTGTTTCTAATTCAAATTTGGCTCGTTCTGTTTCCACTAAACGCTGACATGTCTCATCGAATTTTCTTTTCAATTGTTCATGACCAGATTTCAATTCAGAATCCAAAGAAGCATTCTTTTTCGTTAAATTTTGAACCATATCATTCAATTCAACGATTTTACCAGCCATTGTGTCATTTGATTGTAGCAGGCGATCGTTGTTGTCCAATAATTTTGTTCGCGATTCTGTCCATTCATGTCGCGATTGTTCAAATTTTTCAAACAATTCTTTATTTTGCTTTCGCAACTGTTCCATTTCGTTATGCAATCGTTGATTCTCATCACCGATTTGATCACATTGCGCGTGTTTAGCTTGAAAATCATCATACAACTTTTGTAGATCACGATGGATTACTTCAGATTGTTCGACTTGTTCTAATTTTGTTTCCAACAAAATATTCCGTTCTTCACAATCAAAAAGACGACTTTCTATATTGGATCGCGCTTCTTCTAATTCGATTTTAGCATCCAAAAGTTCTTGATTTACAGCCATAAGTTTTGATATTTCTGATTTCGAATTGGCCAATTTTACTTTATGGTTTTGTTCTCTGGTCAAACTCACTTGAACATCTTGTTTCAAAGAGTCATTTTCATTTTTCAATTTGGACAATTTAGTCTCCAGATCATGGATTTTTGTTTCAAATTGTACAATTTTTTGATCATTCAATTTTAATTTTTCATTTTCACATTGAATTAGTTTTAAACTTGTTTCGATTTCGAGAATTTTTTTGTTTTGTTTGCTCATTTCTTGAAGATTCTTTTCAAGCTCATTATTTTTTTGAACAAATTCGTCATTAAGATTCTTTAAATTGAAAAGATTTGATTCAAGTGTAGAATTCAAATTGTTAATTTCATTTTGAAGTTTGGTAATAGTTTCATCATTTTCCAGCTTTAATTTATTCAATTCTTCGAGATGATCGGAAACCAGACTTTCCATTTTCGATTCTGATTCATTGGCAATTAATTCCAGAGAATTGATTTTTTGTTTGGCTTCTGTTAGTTTTGACTGAAATTCATTTTCAAAAGTAGATTTTTGTGCTAATGTTTCATTCAGACGAACAGTCAAGATTTCCCGGTCATGAACCGATTCCACAAGACGATGATTCAATTCAATGATATTTGAATTTAAAGATTGAATAGTTTCTCTTAGATCATGACGATCTTTATCCATTTCAAGCATAGCATTATTAAGTATTTGATTTTCATTTTGTGATTCATATAATTGAATTGACAATTGTTCATGACGTTGTTTTAAATCGTTGATTTGAATGAAAGCGGTAGTTTCGTACTGATTCTTCATACTAGAATTGTCCATTCGCAATTGTTCCATTGTTTCTTCCAATTCACCAACGACTGTTTTATATCGAGTTTTTTGTAGTTCTAATTTGTCGTGCAAAATTTGTTGTTGAGCGCGCAAATTATCAACTTCATCACGAGATTTTTGGCATTGAACGTCGTATTCCTTTCGAATGTGATCGATTTGTTCAATGTGAACTTTTGACACCTGTTCTGAAATAGCTTCTTTTTGTTGATCAAGTCTTTCATATAATTCAACAATTTTTTTTTCGTATGTAATTTTGGTCTCCAACAATTCTAAACGATCTTCGTAGGAAAACGAACATTCTTGATCATCAGCGGAAATTTGAGCCAATAGGCTAGGTGATTTTGTAACTGTACCATTGTTGGATAATGTACAACAAGGTGATACATTAAGTTGGTCAATATTCAATGATAGTCGATTATTAGATATGGTATGGTCAGGCGATTTGGATGTTGGTGTTGAAACTAATTCGAAATCTTTTTCATCATGATCCTCATCCTCACAATGATCGGTCAATGTTTGGTCAAGTAATTCTTCTTGTGCATCCACAAAGCTATCGGTACCGACTTCGGATGAAGCTGCATTTTCTTCGATGCTACTCTGAATCTGCCCCATTTCATCTTTTGAGATTATAACGATATCGGGTGGTGGAGTACGCATCAATGACGTCATATAACGATAAACGGATTCACTTAATATGCCATTTCCTTTGTTCATCTCAAATGAGGTGTTTGAAAAATCATTAATTGCACTAGTATTTTCGTCGTTATTCTGATTGTCAAATTCGTGAGTCATTTCGTCGTCATCTGGTTTGCCAATTTCCGTATCATTTTTTAAGTCGACTGACTTTTCATCATTTTTGCAGGATTCATTCAAAAGCTGTTTTTTGGGTGTTTTGTTAACATCATTCATCATTGGTAAAGTTTCGTCACTATTTTGGAAATTCATTCTACTTGTTGATATGATTTTGTCCAATGAGAACGTAAATGGAATCGTAAATGTAGTTTCCACATCGTCCAATTCGACAGAAATATATTTATATGGCTGCTGTGGAAATGATTGTTCGGATTGGGATTCATTCATACCTAAAGAAAATAGTTTAATAATAATATTAAAAATACAAAACAAAAATCGTACCATCTAATGGTCCAGAAAATAATGAAATATCGTGTTCTGGATCCATAAATTTATTGAAAAAATCATCAAATGAAGATTGATTCTGGGTTCCAGGATTATCATTTAATTCTTGATTCATTTCAATCCTAGTATCGATTGATTCTGATGAATTTTCATGTTCACCTTTTTTTGAATCAAGATGTTCGTTATCTATTTCATTGCATTCGTCAGCATAATTGATCGATTCATTCGATTCTACATGTTCAATCAAATTATCAATCAACTCACCGACAACTTGATTTTTTTCATTATCTTGATCGTTAGACTCATCCTTAGAATCGGTAGACATGTTGACCAATTTAAAAGAAAAATCCATTAGATTTTTCGCTGGCAGATATTCGGTTATATTCGAATCGATGGGGTTTGATATTGAGCTTGAATTTGCATTGAAATTGATTAGATAACTAGTCGTATGATTTAAATCGTTTTGATGATGATTATCTTGATTAGAATCTTGGCTACCAGAAACCGGTAAACCAAGAAAAGAAAGATCTGACATGATATTAAAAAAAATGTTTTTCAAACCGACGACAATAACTACACACACGAAAATGCTTGTTGTAAGCTTTGGATGAGTTCAAACGAATTTTAGAAATCAACGGTCGTTTTATGATTTTTCGATCAGCCAATCAAAAGAGCGTTTGATGAGCAAGCGCAAATGCGTTTTAACTTACAAACAATCGATACTAAACAATCGAAATATGTGATATAATAAACATTCAAGGTTTTATTCCTATAGGAATTCTATAAAATTTTCAAACTATTTTCCGCCTATGAGCTGTTACTCAAATATGGACGATAATATTGCTTTATAAATGTTTATTACAACAGTTGATGTCAAAATGATTGCTAAATAATTTTTCGCTGGTTCTTTCAGCGGTCAAAGCAAAATTAAGATTATAACAATTGAGAATGATCACATAAAAGTTTGGATTTCTTTAATATAATCATCTAAACGATCCATACGCCATAATGAATAGATTTTTAGATCATTACGTTTGATTGATAATAACATGGCTGTGATTAGTTCACCCAATGAACACCATGCATGTGTGATGGCAACCATTTGAATATCATAGAATTGTATCCATTTAGTGAGACGATGTCCAAAAAATTCATTATCGTCGCTTTTATCATTGTTGAAATAATTACTGGAACAAATATGGCCACAAGGTTCGACCATCAATACAATCATCATCCATATGAAATGGATGATAGTGAGGAAAATTTTCGAACCAATAGTTGTATCTAGTATGTATAATTTTTTCAGCCATTCCTCCGTCTTTCGAGCGTAGGTCAATGCCAAAATTGTTAGAATCTGTTCCAAGATATTAATGATATACCATACGGATGATAGTGTAAAAACGAGTTGATGTTGTTGAAAGCAATCGGCTAGGATGAAACCAATAATTAGTAAAACGCCCCAAAATGACCATATAATTGGAACTAGACAACTTTAAATAAAGTGGCAAATTATTAGAAAAAAAATGACCGAAAAATTTCTTTATAAAGAAATGAGTCAAACCAAATCAAATATTCAAGATCCAATGACCAATAATCGAATTTAACGAATGAATCTATCGGACTTGTTCGATTCAATGTTTTTGATGATCGGGAACTCGGACTTTTATTTGGTGATGATGATGATGATGATGATGATGATCAAGTTTTCTAGCTGCAGCCAATAATTTTTCTTTTCGTAAAAAATTACCGATATTAAAATCTGATGGCAACGACTCTTGGCCATACCAATTATTATTTAGATTCAAATGCCAACAAGAATTAACACTTTCCATTCGAGTGGCTTATGTTCAAAAAATTAATCAATCAGAAAAAAATGATTCAAGCTATTTTTATTTATTTAATTCAACATTTCGATAAATAAATAATTAGAAAATATAAATTCGATTTGGGAAAAAAGAACGAAACACGTTAATCGATGATTTGCCCGAATGTGATGGCCAATACGACAAAAATTGTTCCTAAATTGTACGCCGATTCTAATTCGTCAATTTAATCAAGAATTTACATCACACATAGAAAATGTTTCCAATCAAATAACTTACGTTTGTTGCTTCCATTGTGGCCACGATGGGGTGTGGTTCCTCCACCACCCTTATGTGTTGTTACAGGACCACCTTTATGTGTTGTTACAGCACCACCTTTGTGAGTTGTAGCTCCATTTCCTTTATGGGTGGTTGCCCCACCACCTTTTTTGGTAGTTCCTTTATCACCTTTATGGGTAGTGGCCGGTCCTTTATGAGTCATATAATCATTATAATAATCATCACCTGTTTTAATGCCTTCTTCGGATTCAAAATCAGGTGATTCGAATTCAGCCAAATCATCATCCTGTTGTTCATCATGGAATGTTTCATCAATCATTAGTGATTCTTCTTGTGGTTTTTCCTTGTATTGATCGACTTTTGTTGAATTATTTACCAAATCCGATTTTTTAAAATGTTCGGTGTCATTTACGGTGAGATTTTGATTGGCAAGTATAACTGGTAAAACCAGTATTAGAAAATGAATAGAGCCTATGGATTAAATAGATTAATTCAAGTCATATTCCATGTATATAATTCAATTCTTACCTGATTTCATTCTCGATATAGATTGAAATGGATCAAGATTTTTGTCAATCACAGAAAACAATTTTTTTAAATTTGTGTATGTATGTTTGAAGCCAATAGAAAAAAAACAAATCGATTTATCGAATTAAATGACATCGTATTTATACGAATCGGTCATGATTGGAATTTGCATTTGTCCAGCTATAAATCACTAATGATTGCCGCGATGTTGAAATTGTCAAATTTCCAAATGTCATTGTCAAGGCGATTTGTTAATACATTGATTCAATTATACCAACTTGTCGATATTTGGCCATAAATCATTGATCAATTCTTGAATCATGTTTATTTGTCTCAAAAATGACATTTATATCTAACAATTAAATAATGCAGATATTTCTACAAAATTTTACAATCTAAATCTCAATAACAATTATATCATGCAAATAAAATTTAATTATACATCTTTTCGAGCATTAATGCGGATGCACCACCCCCAGCATTACATATAGCTGCAACACCCATTTGTCCAGGTTCCAAATGTAAAGCTAAATGATTGACAATGCGTGAACCAGACATTCCTACTGGATGACCGAGGCTAACAGCACCACCACGAATGTTTACTTTAGAAATGTCTATTTTAAGTAATCGTAGATTAGCCAACACAACGGCACTGAATGCTTCGTTAATCTCCCATAGATGTATATCATTTTGTTTGTAACCCGTCATTTCAAGTAACTTTGGAATTGCATATGTTGGAGCGATGGAAAAATCAATCGGATCGACAGCTGCATCGGCAAATCCAACAATCTTGGCCAAAGGTTTAAGACCATATTTTCGAACGGCTCGTCCCGATGCTAAAACAGCAGCTGATGCACCATCGTTAACTAATGTTGATAAAAGATATTTTAAATTCTATACTCTAACACAAATATATGCCATTTACTCACTTTTACTAGCATTTGCAGCTGTTATTGTTCCATTTTTCGGTTCAAATACCGGCTTCAATTTAGAAAATTTCGAAAAATCTACACGCCGATATTCTTCATCTTCGCCAAATTTGTGGTTTGGTATTTTTTAGTTGCTGGTATATCGACTGGTACAATTTCCAATTCGGTTACTTTAGATGCCCATTGAGCACTTAGCTCATAACTACGTTTCGCATAATCATCTTGTTCGGCACGAGATATGTTCATATTTTTGGCCGTATGTTCGGCACATGCTCCCATCAATTTTTTATAGTAAACATCGGTAAAACCGAATTGTAATCCATCGATCAATTTGATGCCTCCATACGGTAAATCACCACGAGGTAGAAAAAAAGGTACATTGGAAAAACTTTCCTGGCCACCGGCAATACCAATATCAATTTGACCACATTGGATAGCCTGTGCTAATATCTGATAAGATTTCATTCCGGATGCACAGGCTTTATTCAATGAGGTTGTTGCAACAGTCACTGGTAGACCAGCTCCTAATGCTGCTTGTCGAGCAGGTGCTTGACCAACACCAGCTTGCCGTACGTTTCCCATGATGACTTCTTCGATTACTACGAAAATTTAAAAGAGTAAATTTAAAAGTTCAACAAACAAGGTAGACAAAAAACTTACAATCTTTAGTGATAATGGTCGATCTTTCGATTGCACCTTGAATAGCTATTGCTCCTAATTGTGGACCTGTAAATTGGGCAAGTTTTGAACGAAAACATCCAATTGGTGTTCGTGCGGCCGATATGATGTATGTTTGGTCATCTTTAATATTTGTTGATGACAGATTACGTTTTCCAATCAAATGGATTATTGAGAATCTATTCACTTTCAACATTGTTTGAATAAAAAAACACAGTATCATCTATATACTAAGCAGAACGACTGTTGTTTGTAAATAATAATAATTTTATTATCAATAATTTTTGTCAAAAACATTTCTCTGATTGATTTGATGAAGATGATTATCGTCTGTCATGTGTACGCGTATGATTCCAAGCATGTGAAATCATATCCTATTCAAATGATACGTTCTTATGTATTTTTGATCAAAACAAAAAAAATTATTTATATAGAGACAATGATTGAAAAGACGAGAAAAAAAATTATAACAAAACACCTAAACCGAATAATAATAATAATATGAATTGAAAGAATTCAAAATGGAAAAAAATGAGAAACTGATAAGAAAATTGTATTTAAAAAAAATTATTAACAAAAAAAATTCATCTTATTTTTCATGTGCGTTTGTTTTAGTAATGAATTTTTTTAATATGAAATTCCACATGTGAACTAAGACCAGGTATAATGGCATTGGATGGTTTCAATTCTTCATGATATTTTATAATACGTTCAGCACGTCTACGACGATTTTCCAATGGATTAGATTTAGCAATCAAAGCGGCCAATGCCATTAGACGATAAATAAATATATGTAATAATAACATCTGGATACAATGATGAAAATAATGGTTGCCCGGAATCTCTAGATTATATAGGACGGCTTGAATTTCTTTAGGACCACATCGATCAAATCCATATTGTAATATCATGTTACCTTCACTCATATAGCGACAAATAGAAAAGAATGATACAATTTGAAATATATAATGAAGACTAGAAATTCGGCTGAAAAAATTTGCCGTCAATAACATCATAATGTATGAAAAATTTGCCATTGCAATGAATATGAATGAATTTCCATCAGCCATCAATGTAAGAAAATGGCTAAGACCTTGAAATGCTTGCATACCAAGATTGAGCAATAAAAACATCCACCAATAAATGCCTGGATGAACAGTTTCATAGATATCAATTATCCATAGATATACAGCCACAATGGCCACCATTGTAATAGTTTCGTAAAGGTATTTTGTCAGATAGAATATTCCCGTGCTATACCAACCTGTTTTCCGGAATACATGTAGATGATTAATTTAGAATGACTGTCTATTTACAGTAACAAAAAAAAACTTACCATTACGATGTTCATTGAAAAAAAATTTGGTCTCTTTAGCAAAAGCAAGTCCACATTGAAGCATAACCAAAAAGGCAAAAATATTGAGAGCAAAAAAATTATATCGGCCATTACTTGTCAGATTTGTTTCCTCTTCAATACTGGCTGTTGAACGATTACATGTTTGATTGAAATCCTCCTCTAGCGATATGCATCCATCAGCCAAAGCAATCTTTGGATCGAAAAAATAACGAAGAAAAAATCCATAGAATATATAAATAATGAAAAACATTGCCCATTCTTGCCATAGGTAGCCATAAATGAACGTTAAATAACGTGAACAAAGAATTGGCAATGATCCGATAGAAAAACGAATGCGATTCAATGGAATTCCATCCGGTACATATTGAGTTTCCGTTTCCAAACTTTTGTTAGCCATCGTTGTCGTGATTATGTTGAGATCGTTGTTTTGAACCAATTTTTGCACGACTGGATCATCATGATTCATACATGAATATTTAATCAATTCTTCAACGGGAAAAGTTGTGCCAAATGTATTATAGCCAGTTATTTGTGATAAATGTTGTCGAATCATAGATGGTGGGCCAGAATAGATGCCAACACCACTTTTGGCCAGCACGTAAATCTGATCAAACATGTTCATTAGATCGGTGTTTGGCTGATGTATGCTAGCTATAATCGTTACGTTATGTCGATGTACAAATTCACGCAAACAACCAATAACAATCTCAGCCGAATTTGAATCTAATCCACTGGTTGGTTCATCAATACAGATTAGATTGGGCATCCACATTGATGTCAATTCTAATGCCAATGCTAAGCGTTTACGTTCACCGCCTGAACAATTTTGTACCATTGTTTCGGCAGTCTCAGTAAGATCCAATTCGTCTAATAAATTCATTGCCACTTGTTCATGATCAACTTTCATCGCTTCATGTATGCCCATCGAGTAATTTTTTAATCTTGATGCATAAATCAAACTTTGTTTAGCCGTTAGTCCAGGCAACAGGTGGCCAGAAACTTCTTGAGTAAGATAGCAAATTCTGATCGGTGTAAATCGACTCAAATAGATTTTGTTTCGACACTAAGCCGTGTTTTCAATTGACCATTCAGTACTTTGAGCAACGAGGTCTTTCCTGAGCCTGAGGTTCCCATCAACGCATTCATTGTACCGAAACGAAATTGTCCATTCAGATCGCGCAGAATTATTTTCGAATTAGAATGACGTACCGAACGTATTTCATGTATTGAACTAGAACCAAATAATGTAAGATTTCGCCATGCTACGATAATCTTGTCGCGTGAAAATTGTTCAAATTCTAATTCGGAATTGTGTTTGATTCGTTTTGGAAGAGGAGGTGTTTTCTTTACAATAGATATTATCGATGAAGGTCCTAAAGGTGGATAATCAATTTTTTTTGTTTTAGAACGTTTCGAACAGATCATTGGTCGTAATTGCCATGAAAAATCGAATCTTATGAACATAAAAACCAATGTTGCCATCCGTAAAATCAATGTATTCCATGCAACTTGCGTCAGACTCGAATATACTGTTTCCGGGTTGACGTAATATTTGTAAAGGATGACTGAAAAAAAATCTTCTTGATTACAACGATCAAGTCCATAAAATGACCAAAGAAGACCTTTTGATATTACATTTGATGCTAATAATTGTGCAACTTTCAAAACAAACGGATCTTTCATATGTTCGAGATTGATGAGATAGCCATTGAGTAGACAAAGTATTATGTAATAAACGTACGATACGATCAACGATAGTTCAGCATTATCCATGAATATGACGGCAACCAATTGTCCAATGCTTTGCATATAGACGTTGTAAAGCCAAAAAAGACCAAGGAAATGACCAAAACGACTCCAATTTATCTGAAACATTCCAGCATCAGTCATAGAGAGAGGTTCAATTGTATGATGACCACTGGGAAAATATACGAGTATTGTTGTGACCAATGTGAACATGTTCATTTCGATGAATCGCACAAAAAGATATGACCAAAAAAATGTTCCAAGCGAATACCATCGATTGCGATGTTCATTACGGAACACTTTGAGAAGTGGAGAAAAAACAACTGATGCCATGCCGACCATACCGAATCCGGTGTACATTATACAAAATGATTGATAGCTAACATATGTTTCCATTAATGCATCATCATTAAGTTTTTGGCCACAAGTTTGATTTTCTGATGATATTGAATAACAACCACTTGGTCGTACCATTTGTGGATCATAGGTGAATGTCAGAAATAGATATGATAGAACGTACATTAGGATTTGTAATAAGAAAACGTGGCCATTAACAACAAACACCACCCGGAAGAGACGAGATAATTGCAAAAGTAAATCGCCAATAGTAAAGGGCTTCAAACGACGAGGCGTTCCCCATGGTAGAAAATCTAATCGTGATATGTGAGGTAGTAATTTTTCATTTTCCATCTCCAATGTTCGATCGGCCAATAAACGAACGTAATCTGATTCTAGACCAGTGCAAGCAATTTTTAGGTATTGCTCAATTGGTGGTCGTTCATGATGATTATCATTTTTTTCTTCCATTGCATGGCTTGATTGATTATGTTCACTAAAGTTGATATCTGATAATTGATTTAATTGTTGTTGAAGATTTTCTTGTAACATGGCCGGCGTGCCTGAATAAATGCAGACGCCTCCACGTGCCAATATATATAGTTTATCAAACATTTCGACAATTTCCGCATTCGGTGTGTGTATAGACACAGCAACAGTCATACGATAACGATTGGCCAATTTTCTAAGACATCGCATGACCAAAAAAGCTGCATTCGAATCAAGGCCTGTAGTAGGTTCATCGACAAACAGTAAAGATGGTGGTACCAATGACATAAGTTCTTGTGCCACGGCTATACGTTTCTGTTCGCCACCTGAACAATGTTCGAAACGTCGATCCAATACGGATCGATCCAACATTAATTCATCAGTTATTGAATCGATATGTATCTGAGCTCTAGAACGAAATTTCCATCCATTTTTGAAAAGGAATGCATGACGAAGTATTTCACGGACTGTCAAACGACCAATGATTGTTTCATTTACATGTTGTTCAATGAATCCAATCCTAGGGGATTGTCGTTCGAATTTATTCAGATAAATTTCCGAATCTCTTGTCAGACCCGAATCACGAACATTACCATTGAGACAATTGAGCAATGTAGTTTTTCCAGCACCGGATGGCCCCATAAATCCGGTTAGGTGATGATATTCAAGTGTTCCATTGAGTCGACGTAGTAATACTTTGCTGGTTTGTTTTGTAGGCAGGAAGAAACGTTTCTTTTTTATTTCAAATCGAAGATTCCGCCATGCAAGACAAACATTGGTTTGTGAATCAATATCCAAACTAATATCGGATGTTTTTGATTTTGTTGTTGTTGTACTATTATTGCTAATCACTGATTTATCATCATCATTTTGCGAAGATGATGATGATGATGATGATGATGATGATGAAAGGAAAAGTTTTGTCCTTAATAATTTTGGCGATGTAGGCGACATTGTTATTGCAATTTAATTAATCACTAATAATTGATTACTTCTTTTGAAAATTGAGTCGAAAATTGAACAAATGATGAAAAAAAAATTCAATATTCAAACGAATTCATCAAACTATATTGTGATGGCAATTTGCAAAAAGAGATGTTATATTGATAACTGATGTCTGTGATCATTGTTAGTTGTCGTCGTTGTTGTTCATGGATAGTCAACTTTGATTTGACGAGCCGTATTGAACATGATCAAAGGTTTTATGTTGAATGAATGGATATTGTTGCCGCTGCTGTTGTTCGATGTCGATATACATCATTATCATTCTTGTCGTTTTGCTATGATGCTATCAAATAAATTTTAATTGAAATGAGAAATCAACAAACCGACGAAAAAATTTATGGGTTGTACAAAGAGAATCACATCACATCACATTATAATTGATCAATGAACGATCAAGTGGATTTTTAACACACCTAAGAAATTCATAAAATATTCGTAGAATGCACGATTGACATATACACAAAATACGATGCACAAACATCAACCAACAAGTGGCATCATGAAAATGGTTCATTGTCATTGTCAAGGTAAATATTGCATTTGATGATAAGAAACAAATACATGTTGAAAGGAATAATAAACACACACATATGTAGATATAATACACACGTCACTTATTCGTTCATCTCCTCCTATTTAACAAATTCTTTATGTCGCATGTTATTGTCGCACATGAATTTACAAACATCAAAGTACAGCTGTTGCCGGTTTTTTGTTTGTTTCCCAATATACAAATATTGACACTAAAATATATAGCTTTGCTTTGTGAATTGTTTTTCTTTGAAATTCAAAGATGATGATGATAATGATAAATAAGAGGTATCACCGGTAGTTTCCGTTGAGTTATGTTTTTTTTTTATTCGAAAGAAAGATAAAATCAAAGTTGTTAATTTCGCTTGAAGAGTGTGAAAGCGATTGCAAGATGACAAAAAAATATATAATTCTCAGTGGGAAATCCAGATATTGTTGTTTTCATCAATCATTGTGAATCTGTTTTGATCGGATTCGGAATTTATCAATCAATATATATATTAATTAATGCTTAATTCGATCGATTTGATAATCATTATTTTTCAAGATATAAATGTTTGAGATATTTGTTTCGATGTTGTTGTTGTTGTTGCTTTCGTTGAAATATATTCAAAACAAACAGGCTTACAGACAAATAAATCAGATAGAAAAAAGCATATGATTTGAAAATGAAAAAATATTGTCACGTTTAAAATTATTTTCAATTATTAAAACAAAACGTATTTCGCTGCCCACAATGATGTCACGTAATGGTCGATCGATCAATCGGTAAAAAAAACTTGTTTCACTTACAAAAATGAACTGGAGAGTTTTTGAATGACACGTTTGGATTAAAAAAACCGGGAAATACACTTGGCATTTGGATGAATTTATCTGTACACTAAGAAGTATTAGTAGCACATTTTTCCTGGAAAAATCACACCAATCCACCACATCATCCTATCCATAGTTGAATCAAGGTAGTTGATAATGTTATTTTATGTTGATCCAAAATTCATTCTACGACTTTTATTCGAAACATTCTAACCCTTCAAATGTACACTGTATGTCTGTCTGCATGTTTGTTTGTTTGTTTGTTTGCCGGATTCACCTGTACATTTTTGTTGTTGTTAATGGATTCGATGGATCCAATAGATAATATCACATGACTCTCATGAACAATAACAACAAAAAACAACAACAACGACAAAAACAACAACGAGTTTCTGGACAATCTTATGATTTTTTTTTTTTCCTCACATGCATACATGTTTTTTCTTGTAATTTTCATTTTCCATTAAAGTATTTGAACATTGATGTGTGTGTGTGTGTGTGTGTTTATTTGTTTGTATCTGTACAAATAACAATTTGGATCGGAAGAGATTCGGAAATGAATAATAATTTTTAGAAGAGTCTATGCAAACAGACACATAAAGAGATACAACCGAAGATTGTTCCAGAAAGACTACTACGTAAAACATGTCTTTCTCTTTTACATCTTCATTTCCCGGGTAATGATGGTCCCGGACACGGACATTGAAACGGAAAATCCGTTTGCTCGTCGTCATTCATTTGTATAAGCATGTTTTTTTTGTGATGGAAATTTTTTTCCAATCTACTTAAAATAAATAATTTTTCCATCTAGTTTGTTCGTTAAACACAATGATCTGATCGACGGTGATTGATTAATGTTGTCGATCGATCGTTGTGTTGATTATCCGTCAATGCAGTCAGAAGAAAAAAAAATGAACGTCTATCCTCATTTCATTTTAGTATTTTGTCGGGTAATCATAATGATGATGATGATGATGATGATAATTGCCTTTCGGGTATTGATTGCCATATAACCAAAATGTTTAAATATGTGTTTGACGCCATATCTAATTGTAACAAATATTTACACAAATTTATTTGATTTTTTTTTGACTTGAAGATCTTAAAAAAAATTTATATATTGAGATTCATAACAACAGAAGTGTATGAACGATGATGATGATATCAACGAGAAAAAAGATATTTTTTTCATGCAAAAAAAAATCCTTCCATAATCATTTAAATAGGAAATGGTAAATAAGTGCGATGGCAATAGGACCCATTCGAAAAAGAAAAGAAAATTTTCTTTTTCAACATCATTTTTTACTATTTGCTATGATTTTATCGTTGTAATCACCATCCTCAGTTATTCAATATTTGAAAAAAATTTCTCGCATTAAATTTTTTTTGTGAAAATAATAATAAAAAATGAAAACGTTGTTGTCGATGATTTCTCTCTGTCTCTCTTGACATAAATTTCTTGTTGTCCAATCGTTGTTCAAAAAAACAGAAAAAAACCGATCGATTGGTCGTAATCATCGACAAAAATGGTGACCACCTGACAAAAAAAACATCGATACGGTCGATGTGAAAACAAAAAACAACAGAAAATGAATGAAGAATGATTGAATGAGAAAGTGAGAGATGATGTTAATTGAGAAGATTGAATCGTCAAAAAAAATGTAAAATGGGGAAAACACTAAACTTCCTTGAAATGAAGTGGAAGGCAAAAAAAAATCACTGCCGATATTTCCGTTTTGCCTACCTGTCTGTCTCACTGTATGCTTGTCCCGTGTGTACATACGCACTATTTATTATTTTATAGGTTTCTCAACATCATCATTGTGGATGGATTAGAAAATTCGGAAAAAAAATTATTTTTCTAAAAAGTATTTCTTTTTTTTGAAACTATTTTTTGATACATGATTGTATATAGGATATGATATGATCAATATGTCAAAGAGAAGAAAAACAAATTTGAAATTTTTATTTCAAATGAAATTTGTCATCCTTGAAATGGATCAATGAAAAACAAGATAATCATTATCAACAACATCATCATCATGTGGACTTTATTATTATTATTATTTTTTAAATGGTGGCATTCATTTGATATTGGTATATTAATATTAATTTTGTCAAATTCAATATTAAAAAAAAAAAAATAAAACCAAATCGAATATGAAATAAATTTTATCAGAAAAAATAAATAAAATGCAATCAATACAAGTTCAATGTCAATGAATGAAATTTTTTTCCCTTTGATTTATTGAATAGAATTCAAGGTAAGAATTTTTTTTCAATTTTTCCATTTTTAAATTTAAAATTCACCTGTTGCGTTCTATTTTTCCATTTTTTTTCTTGATTCTTAATGTAGATATAGATGTGAAATCCTAATCCTATAACGTTCAAATATCGATCCTTTTTATCAGTTTGCAATGCAATAAGCATTTTTTCGATAAAATTTCGACAGTAAAAGCTTATTACATTCATGGTTTTTACTATTATTATTTTGGATTTTATTTTGTTTCACACATTTTACATGAAAAGTAAATGACGTAAATTTGGCAATTTTTTTTGGGCAAACGACTACTGTACTGAATGAATTGGTGTTGATAGATGGAAGCCACATATTACTATTAGTTACCTATGATAAAATCAAAACTCTATCATTTTATCCGGCTTGAAAGCAATCGGAATTTATGACTGTTTGATTTATTGACAAACAATCAATATTTGATGTCGTCATCAATGAATAATCATAGTCATCTACTGATATAACAAATATTTACACATATCTAATCTATCTAACATTTTTTATAGTGCTAAAGTTCCAAGAAAAACAGAATTTGCATACAGCAAAGACTGTCAAATAAAATTGCCCAAGTAACAATTTAAATTCAATGAAACAATAAAACAAAAAGTAAAAAAATAAAAGTCATTTTGGGAAAATTTAAAAAATTCATCACTTGAATCATTTACATCACCATCATCACATGGAGCAAAAACAAATGATTCAATGAATTGATTTATTCAATTTGAAACAATTTTCCCACATAAATATTAGTTATTATTATTGTAATTTTTGTGAAAAGAATAAAAATAAATAAAACATCATAAATAATTGCCATCTTTCATGATTCTTTACTACACGTGATCAAATCATTCATCGTTTGTTGATGATTTTGTACCTTCAATTATGCGATCTAATTCAGCTTGTACATCACGGGTACGTAATGATTCGACAGCCGTTGATGATGCTGAATTGGGTGTTGTGACACCAGATTGGCTATTACGAACAGATCCAGATGAATTACCACCACTAGGTGTACTACTGTTTCCTCCTGATCCTCCAACCGATTTTCGGCTCAATAGTGAGTTGAAAAACGTTTGCAAAACACGCTCACCACCGGGTGATGCTTTACCGGATGCATCAAGAAAAGCAGCCGCAGCAGCTGGACTAGCGCTATGACTTGATGGTGTTTGATGTGATTGTCGACGATCTGATTTATTGGCCGATCCACCACTGTGGGTACCAGTATTACCACCAACCGGTGTCGCTGTATTGGACGATGATGATTGACTACCACCAGTGGGGGTACCTCGAAGTGGCTGCATTAGTGACTAAAAAATAATTAAAAATTATTATTAAAAAGAAATGCCAAAATTTACCGTGTTAGTAATATTGGATGGAACCTGTTGATTCAGTTGTGTTCGTAATTTCATCAAAAAAATCTGATCATCTTCGGAAACAATTTCCGGCTCTTTCATAGTAGGCTATGTCAAAAAAAAAATGAAGAAAATGTATGATTAATTAGATATTCTTGAAAGATCTTTTTGTTAAATGGAGAAAACATAAGAGTCAGTTTCAAAATGTTTCATCAAAATGTTCAGGAGAACGAAAGTATATGAAAAAGGCGCATCATTCTGATTTAGAATAAAGTATTAAAATAAAAAACATATTCATATTAACTTACATTAACATTATGTGGTGGCATTATCACATCATTATAATTATCATCAGGTGAAAATGATTGTATATTGTCATAAAGAATGGAAATTTTTTTCTCATTATCCCAACCAGATGGTCTAATTGAAATAAATAAGATGATGATGATTTACAAGAAAAAACAAGAGTTTGTAACTTACATAAAAATAGCATCCTTTTCGACCACCAATGCTGGAGTTTTGAATTTTAATCCATAAATCCGATGTATAAGAAATTTATATAATAGATCACAATTTTTGTTTATCTTAGCAGAAACATACATCAAAGTTGCGCCATCTACAAACAAAACAAAAAAATGATGTGGTTAAATTATTATGGGTGCAAAAAAATCACACAATTTCTCTCAATTTGATAATATTCAGTTTTTTTTCACATCAGATCATTATAAAAATTCATATGAGGTCTGTAGCATAATCGTCAAATTTCATCACAAAATAAATAAATAAATCATTCACACAAAATTACTTACATTGAAGACAAAATTTTCTAGCATATTGTTGTATGAAATCGAAATGTTCCTCACGAAAATCATAATCTTTTTCCAATGTAGACATATAATCTGTTTTTGTAATGGCTACGACTATGTCCAGGCCAAGATTATGTGATAGTACATCAGAAGGTAATGGATCTCGTTCAGGTTCGATATGATCAATTGGAATGCCATTATTACCGGTTGTGGATGTTGTTGAGTGATCACCATTTTGCGAACGACGCATCGAAGTTAATCCTTCTATTTCATCACCAGGTGAAATGTAATCCTGGAATCGTCGTGTATCTAAATAAGAAAATAAATTCAAATTTATCAAATATAATTTTTTACAAAAAAAAACAAATGATTCAATCATAATTATCACAGTCAGTTTTTACGTATTATTATCATAGAATTAAAATCATGACAGGTCTGTGTAAAATAACTCATCATTTATACAAGTATTGAATATTTTTTTTTTTGAAAAACACTTATCGATAACTTACTTTTATCTTGATATTCTTTAAATTTTTTCGAATCCAAATTTAAATTTTGTACATGTTTTTGTAGACAATTCATCCAATACTGAAGTGAATTCATCATCTCCCATGGTTTAGTCATTGAACATACAACAAGTATGGTTGTATCTTCAAAATTATCTTTATTCAATGCGAATCTTAACAATTGAGATTTCCAATTATAATTGCCATCCAATATCCATACACCACATTGTGTCTGTTCATCTCGATATTCATCACGAACCATTAGATAATGATATTCAAGTCCGGATCCTTTGCACGTTGTATCGATGCCTTGCATCTTAGCAATGAGTGATGATTTACCAGAATCATTGTCACCGAGTACAAGAATAGATTTATTCGAAGGTAATTTATTCGTTGCAGTCTGTTGAACTTGTTTCAATATTGATGACCAAATGTCACGATCAGTCGGTTCAATCGAATCATTAACATTCGATGATAGAGAGTTTTGAGCACTGTTACGATATGGTGCCATGTGCTCAACTCAACAGCTACAATGTGTAGAACCGGAACCAAAAACACACACGTGGCATGGACAGACGAACAGAAAACGACTTGTTGAAACTTTTCCACTGAAAAAGGACAAAGTCTCAAGAAAGTTTCCAAAAAAAAATGCTCGATTAATCTAATTATAATTCAAATTTTATAAATTAAAATCTAATGTCTGATTTATAGCTTCAAGATTTTTATCATGAAACTTATAAACCTGATCCGAAAAAATTAAAATTCAAAACCTAATAAAATTCCGCACACAAAAAACAAAAACAAGGCGTTGCTATTGCTCGCTTTTGCTATCGATTTTATCGATGATGTCGTTTATCACATTTTTAGAGAATTTTCTCTCGTGTTCTTTCATGCAATTGATGCATATGATTTTTAAATTAAATTTTCAGATTTGTATTGAAAATTTCTATCCATTATATCGATAATAATGAGCTCATTAATTAATCATCAAAAATTATAATCATCATTTTAAATTAAAATTTTTATGATGGTGATTCAATTTTTATCTTTAGTACAAGCAAAAAAATTGATTTCACAAGGAAAATTTTTTTTCAAGACAAACTTGTGTTGGAATCGCCTGTTATCATCATCATCATCATCATCCTCTGGTTCTGGCGATGATCTATCATCGGACCAACCGGCAATATCACAACAACAAGTCAAGACTTCTGGTCTAAAATTTCAAAATGTGTTGAATTATTTGGAAAAATCTGTTCGATTGTTTGTCGGTGACGTTAATAGTGAAGAATATCGAGAATTCGATCAGGCTTTAAGCATAGTTCGTTCTAGTCTTGAATCAATGCCCGAATTTCATCAACGAATCGACAAAATCGATGATGGAACACTTGTTGATTCACAAAAATTATTACGCGATCGCTTTTTACAAAGTCGTTCGTCGATTCTAGCCGATGGATCAATTTCTTGTCTAATATATCCTGACCTAGGTCTTTGGAATAAAATTTTACCTGAGAAATTTTTACTTGATTTTATGGTCGCAACTATATTGGGCGCTTTAGACTATCTAGAAAATGGCGAAAATCTTCACTATTCTCGGGTGCCTTCATTAGGACATGATTACATTGAAGAATCTAGGCCATCTAATCAACAACAAACGAAAACAAATTATATTATTATAGCTTATGGCTGGAATCATTATCTTATTGATCTGGGACAATTTGAAAATTCTTACCAAGCCTTGTGGCAGATTCTCAAATTTTTATTTGAACAATCATCCACGTCAATGTTAAAAAATCCTTTCCCTATGGGTGTCTTATCCACATTGCCTCGAAATGATTGTATGTACGGTTATAAATTTTTAAACCAATCGGACCTGCAAAAACTTCGACAATCAAAATTATTGATTTCTATCGAAAAACTCGATATGATTCCTCAAGAAACGGACAATGTAGAACGTGATCATCGTATAGGTTTGATGGCCAAACAGATTCTATTGTCAAATGAAGAAAACATTGGCAATCGATGGTACGATAAATCCTTACAAATGGTATTTGTATTGAACAAAAATTTCAATCAACTTTATTCACATGGCCTTTGTTTTGAGCAATCACATGCTAAAATTGAATCCATTCTACAATTAATGGATCATTCCATTAAATTTCTGACAAAATTTAAGGTATTTGAATTGGCACATGAGAATTTGAATGCTTTAAATAAATAATTTCGTTTTTACAGCCAAAAACCGAAGAAGAATATACATCTCGAGATATACAATTTAAAAAACTTCAAATATTTGATTCCAAATCCAAACGATTAACCGAGATCATAAATCAGGCTACAAATCATTTTGCAATGGAAAAATACTTGAATATCTGTTCAAATCGATATTTTCAATTGTCCATGCTTCAGTTCGTTGATTATGGATTAGATATGTTGGAAAAAGAATTTCAATTATCTGCCGAGGATTGGATACAAATTTCTTTCAATTTTACCTTGTATAAATTAACTGGAAATATACGACCGTGTTATCAACGTTTTTTACCAAACGGAGATGGTGCAGAAATCTGGTTTCAATGTTTGAATCAGGAAATGTTAGACTTTTTCCATGAACCGAATGATCGACAAAAATTATTACTAGCATTGGAATCGTTAAAATTTCATCGTGAAATATTAATGCCTGAAGATTCGTCTTCAAAAGAATCCCAAAACATTGAATCTATTCTTCTAGGTTAGTATTTTTTTTCTATTAATTAATTTTTCAATTAATTAATTTTATATGAAAAGTCTATCAAAATTTAGCAAAACTTTCTTTTGGTTTAGACCTGAATAAATCATATCCAGATTCAATGATGACCAATATAGACTCATTATTTAAATTGAAATCAATAAGACGATTACGACGATCAACAGCTCAGATAACTACATTGAAACCTGCTCAAAATTATTATGATTGGCATTTGGTTACTAATGGCCATTCATATTATGATCATCGTATCAATTTAACCGCACATTTAGCTTCTAATCAAATGCATTTCACATTGACAATGTTACGCTGTGGCAGTGAACCACAATTGCGTAATATTTCTGTAGATAAGATTTTGTATGAATTAGATAGGTCATTGAGGCAAATAAAAAATGTATTTCAAAATTAATTTCCAATTGCAACGGCTACATTAGCATTGACTAAACAGACGAATACTGAAATTCAAAAAAAAGTTGGAGGTGGAGGGGTTAACATTTATTACTTTGACTGTATAAATTTTTTCCCATTTTTATCGTAACTATTTTCTATGCTTCTTCTTCACTTCTCTGTTTTGAGAGTGATATTATTTGAGTTTAATAAAACTTGAATTCAATAAATTCAAAAAAAATGAAGGTGGAGGGGTTCAAAGGGTAGGGGAGGAAAAAATGGAGATGGAGGGGTTCGAACCCTCGACCTTTTACATACTTGTAAATAAACAGCCGGAAACTGATTGATTTGATGCAAAGCAAACGCTACTACCACTGAGCTACATCCCCATTGAATAAAGGAATGAGCGGAATTCCATAAAAATAGTGGTAATTGCAGGGAAAAATATGGAGTTACCAAGTTTGTGAACGATTCACACACCTGTACACTACTACAGTAAAAGAAAAAATTGGGGCCTTTGAGGAGGTTGAAGCTTAATAAAGCAAAATAGTTGGAAAAATGGTCAACACTTTTTGAATAACTTTAAAAACCACTATCCCATTGAATTACATTGTCTGCCATAGACTTTACATTAGTCACAATGCTTTTTCAATGGAAGAATCTACTCAAATACTTCCAAATTTTCAGCAACGTCATGGTCAATTCCACTGAACGAATCCAAAGATTCCAGTTCTTTGAAAGCTTCGGGATAGGCACTACCGATGTAAAATGATTCATTTTTTAAACAATAGTTGACAATAATACCACAACAGATCAACAAATGAAACATAAACAAAATCGAGCAATAAATTTGGGAAACACAGCAAAATGCAAAAACATAAACAGAACACAAATTTTAAACCTGTTCAAAAATGTGTTTTATTGAAAGAAAAAATAAAGCATTTGCTAAGATGACAAAAATCACAATACAAATATTAATGACAACTTTCTTTTATATGTATTTTAAATAAACAAAATAGAAAAATTTAGAAACCTCCAGCAGGTTAGCATAGAATGAAATAGAAGAATGGAATAGAAAAAAACGATGAAAAATGTCATGATAAATAAAAAAAATTTTCAAATATTTTTTTTGTTATATTATTAAATCAAATGAGTTGTATGGAATCAATTGTTGATTTTTTTGTTTTTGGCTGTGGATCATTTTCATTATTACCTTTACTTGTCAATGTTTTTTTCTTATCAACCAATTCTGGCACAACACCAATAATGGAATGTATATTCATATTAATTTTCCCAATTGACATCGGTTTCATTATCATTATCACTCTCCGAAGCGTTATAATTAAAATTATAGTCATTTTCGCTGTCGGATTCATTGTCATCATGGTCAATGTCATTGTCTGATTCGTTATAATCATTGTCCGAATTGATAACAATGACATGAAAGTAAAAAAAGTATAATCAAATTCAAATTGATAATTCAAATCGTCAACAAAACGGCATCAAACGAAATCGTGGAAGAAAAATGATGGAAATTTTCAAATAAAATTTGATTTGAATTTTTATTTCAGAGAAAATAGGATAAAAACAAGGATATGATATATGCTTTTATCAAAATATATATAGTTTCAAAAGTCAGATCAGAAGAATAAAAGTCATTTGTTTTTTTCTTAACATAAATGATGATTAAGACAATAGCTCAATGGCAATTGGTCAAAAAAAAAAGAATCGAATCGTTATATGATCATCCAAAATTCGTTTTTTCCAATTTCAAAAGATACGGAAACGTTCATGTGCTCCTAAATATTTTTTACATTTAGGACAATAATGTAGCATATCACGTGAACAATCGGTACAGAAAGGAATCAGGCAACATCCGAGCCAACAACTGTGTTTCAAGACAAAAATAAAAACATTTTAATTAATTCAAAATTATTCAATAATTATGTAGGTGTGAGAATGCTTTGAAATATTATTTGTTGTGTCATTGACATTTTCGTGACTTGAGATAATTAAGCAAAAAAACGTCTGTACACAAATGGAACGGTTTTTTCAATTTTCGAACAATTTTTATTTTGATTTGCTTGAAATTTTAATGATTGAATGATGATGATTTAGAATAGTTAAAAACAATACATACCCAATGAAGCAAAGCCCGGCACATAATAGCCATGTACAGAAATTCGATCGGGCTTGGGTAACCGTTTTAACATCTTCGTGACAAAAAAAACATTTTACATGTATCGATTTTGATGGAAATCTATCCATAATGACTGTTGTATTAGCTAAAATTTATCAGGAAAAAAAGTTGAGACATGAATATCATCGAAATATATGATTATCCTTCGTGTTTTCCAGTGCTTACCATTCTGAGAAGTTGGCTGTGTAACGACAACGGATGATGGTTGCGGTCCTTGTTGTGGTTGTTGAAACTGCTGATCATAATTTGGCCACATAGTATAAGGTGGTGGTTGATCATATTGTGGTTTTTGTTGATGTTGATCTTCAATAATGAAACCTGGAGCACTTGGAGCGGATGGTTCCGCCGAAATATTTGGATACATGCTCATTTTTTTGATATTTGATTGAAAACCAGATTAACTATGAACAATTTGAATTCGAAGAATAATAATGAAAGATTCAATTCAACGAGCAGAAAAGTAATAAACAAAATTTTCAAAAATCCAATCAATATGGAGACAATGGTAAAAAGCTTTGAATGATGACTCATACAACAAAAACTGAGCAACAAGCTACAAACGTTGTCTTTGCTGTTTTCAAATAATGATGCTGATGATGATGATCATGGTCGAAGCTTACACTGCTATTGAAGAAAAATAAACACTCGATTTCAAAGTTGAATTCAAAAGAGAGAACAAGTAGCAAAACGAAGACTAAACGAAAGTTCAATTATCATCGAATAATAAAATGTTGGCACTTTATTACTGATCGATTGCATCAACAAAAACAATTATGTTCGATAATATTTTGATGATGATAATGAACATCATATACCACATTTGCAAAGCTTTATTGAGTGTTTTTTTTTGATAATCCAAATAACAGCTACCCTTGTAAGACGATGATGAAAAATTTTCATAACAACTGTTTATCTTGGCAAGATTTACAGATTTGTAATAAAATCTTGGCAACACAATACACAAAACAAAACGAAGAGCTAACAGAACTTGTATTCGAACGAATTGGATATTTGTTAAAAATCATTTACAATAAAAAAAAGAGAACTGAATATCTTCTTTCGATGAAATATACTGCTATTTATTTGTTTCTTTCGTCCCATTCTATTTACCATTCAATTCACTTTCTCTGAACAAGCAATGTAAAATTTTTCTACGTCACATTATATGATGGCTATAACAACAAAAAAAAAAATCAAACTTGTTATATGTGGCTATAATATATAAATAAAGAGAGTAATACGCGTATGTGCAGCTGTTAATAATAAAATGACGACGGCGGTAAAAATTTGTGTGATCAGGATAAAAAAAAAGTGGTCTCCATTTTTTTTTTGTCTCTGCTGCTGTCTTCATGTACCACTTCCAAGAAAAATAATATTCGCCGACGACAATCTGACGTCGAAAAGTTTGAACATATATTGTCTGGTTTGTTTTGGTTTTGTGATTTTTAATTTCGGTCTCTATTTTGATGGAGATTTATGAACAAAATCGGTGTTTTTTTTTTCGTTATCTTTCATTATCCTTTCGCCCTTATTATTCATTACTGACATGTATTTATTATTTCAAATGAAACGAGCTTTTCTTACATCATGACAAAAATGAAAAACAATTGGCCAAAGCACAATACAATGCCAAATAATAATTATCACAGGTATTAGCAAAAAAAAAAATGTTTAAAAAATTTTGTATTTAAAACTTGAACGCCATCTACGAACCGAAATGTCTTTTTTTGAAACGTTATAACATCGATGTTAGTTGAGATCATCATAGTAAAAATTCGATGGATACCATTGAGAAAAAATACAACAAACTTTTGTGATGCTTATAAGATTATTGCATAATCTAATCTTCATTTGTACATTATAAAATATATACTTAATATAATATAATGGCTTTAGACATCCATGAATACACCCGGCTGATAAACTGGAATACATCCAGCCATTCAAATTGGTTTGACTGCCTACTCGACAAATCATCTCATCAACATGATGAACAAGTCGAAAAACGATGAACAAAATTTAGAAACAGTCAATAGCGCCAGCACCAAAATGCCATGTTGAAAAATCTTATTATAATACGAAAAATATCGACTTATTATAAACATCATTTTTTTGATGATTAGTTGTTGATCAGAAATTAGATTATTACTCAGGATTAAAAATATTGACATAAATTGATGTTGAATCATATGATCAGATCACTTTATCAACATCATCATTTTCATTTTTTTTCCGCATTTCGAGTTTAACATTCTAATTTCGTCTTCATATTCATATATAGCTTTATTTATTTTAGTGCAGTTTTTTTAAAATATCATTTCTAGTTAGTTTTCATTTATCAGAATATATATCTTAAATTTGTACACCACCGCCATCCGCCAACATTCAACAACAACAATAACAAGGTCTTCCTGTCCTTTATTGCCATTGAATGGTCGTTATCATCATCATCATCAGCATCGTTGTTTTCTTCTGATTTTATTCGTTAAATTATAAAGTTGTTGAATATATAGTGGAGCTAAATTAAGTATTATGATGACATCGAATTCATTGATGAAATCAACAGAAACCGCTTCGAATCGATCAAATCGTCGATTTTATCGTGTAGATTCAATACCGACCGGTGATCATGGCCTTACAGCTGAACATGAAAACAAATGGTGTTTTGAAGTGGCCTGGGAAGTGGTCAATAAAGGTTTGAACAAAAAAATAAGGTTGATAAAGTTTGATTTTTTCAGTCACTTCAAAAAATTTTACACTTTTACAGTTGGTGGTATTCATACCGTAATTCGTACCAAAGCCCAAACATCTGTTGAAGAATTAGGTAATCGTTATTTCATGATGGGCCCCTATATGGAACAAATGGTTCGAACCGAAGTGGAAATTGAAGAAGAACCCGTCGAACGATGTTTTCGTGAAACAATTAAAATCTTTCGTGACCATGGAATCAAAGTAGTCTTTGGCCATTGGCTAATAGATGGTTATCCGGCAGTCATCTTGTTCGATATTGAATCGGCTTCGTTTAAATTGAATGAATGGAAACATAATTTTTATGAAGTCACCCACATAGGTATACCACATCAGGATCGTGAATCTAATGATGCTTTGATTCTTGGTTATTGTGTTACCTGGTTTCTTGAAGAAATTTACAAACGTATACAAGAACTTTATGGAACACCGTTGATGGTTGCACAATTTCATGAATGGCAAGCCGGTGTCGGTTTGATATTATGTAGAACGCGACATTTGGATATTGCAACTGTTTTCACTACACACGCAACATTACTTGGGCGATATTTGTGTGCAGGAAATGTTGATTTCTATAACAATCTTGATAAATTCCATTTGGATCGTGAAGCCGGCAATCGTCAAATCTATCATCGATATTGTATGGAAAGAGCTGCATCTCATTCGGCTCATGTTTTCACCACTGTTTCGGATATAACAGCAATGGAATCTGAACATCTACTCAAGCGAAAACCATGTCTGATCACACCAAACGGTTTAAACGTGAAAAAATTCAGTGCCATCCATGAATTTCAAAATCTACATGCATTAGCCAAAGAAAAAATTCATAAATTTGTACGTGGACATTTTTATGGTCATTATGATTTCGATCTGGATAAGACATTATATTTTTTCATCGCTGGTCGATATGAATTTAGTAACAAAGGTGCAGATTTATTTATCGAATCTTTGGCTCGTCTTAATCATTATCTCAAGGTAAATTTTAATAAAAGATTTGATTCTTAGTTTCTGATCTTGATGTGATTGATACTAGTCTAGCCAAAGTGACGTTACTGTGATTGCTTTCCTAATATTTCCCGGAAAAACTAATAATTTTAATGTCGAATCATTACGTGGTCAAGCTATCGCTAAACAATTACAAGAAACCGTTGATGAAGTTCAGGAAAATATTGGCAAACGTTTGTTTGACATTCTTTTACAAGGTCGTTTGCCCGGTCCATCCGATTTGATGAAACAGGAGGACATTGTCGAACTGAAACGTTGCATTTATGCTGCTCATCGATCAACATTACCACCAGTCATCACACATAATATGCAAGATGATAGTTCTGATCTCGTTTTGCAACATATTCGCCGTACACAATTGTTCAATAATCGTTCTGATCGTGTTAAAATTATTTTTCATCCAGAATTTCTAAGTTCCACTAGTCCATTGTTCCCAATTAGCTATGATCAATTTGTTCGGGGCTGTCATCTGGGCGTTTTTCCTTCTTATTATGAGCCATGGGGCTATACACCAGCTGAATGCACTGTAATGGGCATACCATCAATAACCACCAATCTTTCCGGTTTCGGTTGTTTCATACAGGAACATGTTGCTGATCCCATATCATACGGAATCTATATTGTCGATCGTTTACATAAAAATCCAGAAGAAAGTGTTCAACAATTGGCTCAATACATGTTTGATTTTAGTTGTTTAACGAGACGACAACGAATTATTCAACGTAATCGTACTGAACGTTTATCTGATCTTTTAGATTGGAGAAATCTTGGAATAGTAAGTTTATTGAAATAATTACAAATGAATGATAAAATTTATTTTTTTTCTCTTTAAAAAAAAGTATTATCGGAAAGCACGACAATTGGCACTGCATAGAATGCATCCAGAAATAATGACTGAAGATGGTACTATAGCTTCATTTAATTTTCCGAAACCAATTTCTGCACCGGCAACACCGGCCTCATCACGAGCACCATCACCTGTTTCATCAGATGATGATGATGATAGCGTACATTCTGATGTTGAGCGTGATATCCTAACAAATAATGATGATAATGGTAGTGTCGAAGCTATTCTGAATAAAGCAATAGCTTCAACTCAAGCTTAAAAAGCTATAATAAATAAAATACTTATTTTAAATTATTTTTCGTTTTAAACAACAACAACAAAAAAATCAACTAAATAAAGGTTAATGTTTGAATTAAATTTTTATTCCCATTTCAGTTTCAAATGTAATTTTAAAAGGATTGAGCACTTTTTCAAAAAGGATAATTGGTCAAATGTGGACCCAACGAAAATGGACAAGTACGATAATTTTGATCCAATGACATCAATTCTTTAAGATCTTCATCGGTCAATTTAAAATCATACACTTGTAGGTTGGAAATGATACGTTCGAGGCGAACACTTTTTGGTATGACGATAAAGCCACGATCGATAGCAAAACGGATCAGAATTTGGCCGGAATTTTTCTTATATTTTTGAGCTAAACGAACAATAACAGGATCGTTGAGCAAATCTTTTTTCTTCTCATCGGGAAAATAAGTCGAACCGGGATTACCCAATGGTGAATAGGCAGTCAAAATAATGCCTTGATCGGCACAGAATTTTCGCAATTTTTCCTGATTCAAATATGGATGGCATTCAACTTGATTAACCACCGGTTTAATTCGAGCGACTTTCAAAAGTCGTTCAACTTGTTCTACATTGAAATTTGAAATTCCAATCGATTTGATCAAACCTTGATCGACTAATGATTCTAATGCTTGATAGGCTTCAATAAAATCGACTTTTCCATCAATTAATTTGTCATTTGAATCTTTAGGAAATAATGAATCATCTGTTTGTTCAAAACTCATTGGCCAATGCAATAAAATCAAGTCCATGTATTTGAGCTGTAATTGTTTGAGAATTTTATCCAAACAAATTGGCACACGATCTTTGCGATAAAAAGTTAGCCAAATTTTAGATGTTACATACAATTCTTCTCGTTTTAACTATTTTAATATTAATAAAAATAAAAATCATACATATTAAACATGGATTTAGTATTTTGATTCATTCAAGAACTCACCACGTCTGCTTCAATGCATTCGGTGATAGCTTTACCAATCTCTTCTTGATTCTGATAGATGTATGCACAATCCAGATGACGATATCCATTTTCTAATGCACCTTTCACGGCACGATAAACGGAACCATCAGGTGGTGATTGCCAAGTACCAAGACCAAGATTTGGATATTTTTGTCCATTGTTGAACGTGACAAATTTTGAATCAGCCATTCTTTCTAAAAATAAGTACACTTTTATTATCTTGTTTTTATGATGTCAAAATCGTACGATTGTTGAAAGTTAAATGCTTGTTGATTATGGAAGAATGAGAGCTTATATAATTGAATTGCTTTTCAATTAGAAAAAAAAAATCGAACAGCGACGGAAAAAAGCTGTCATAGTGATAAATGTTTGCTTGGTATCTATAGTTATGAATGTAACAACAAAACCATAGCAACTAAATAAATTTTATTTATTAAACAATTATCTGTCTATCATTGCATTAAATATCAAGTGTTTTGCTAGAAATAAAATCTCGATCGTAACCAATATCGATAAATAATTGTTTTTTTTTTTTTTTTTTGGTTTATCAAACGAAATCAATGTATTATTTGTTATAAACACATACCCGAAACCAATGACAATGTCCAATTCGGAATGAAAATCAATGTACAATGTATTTGGTAAGAAAAACAAATTTTCCTATGGCTCAAAGAGATCGATATGCAACAATATAAAGATATTTTGATTCAGAATGGCTACGATAATCTGGATTTTATGGTTCGTTTAATTCAAACATTGCTATAACGATTTTTTTTTGTTCCTCACAAATATACATACTTATCATTTAAACAGGATAATAACGTCATGGATGATAATGATCTGATTGAAATTGGCATAATTCAAGCATTGCATCGCGACGCCATCCTTCGTGCCGCTCAATCATTACCCTATCGGACACCTAAATTGACTCATGATCAAATACAACAATTATCGATTGCTAAATGGCTTGCATTCATTCATCTAAAGCAATATATTGATATATTTCATAATAATGGCCTTACAGAATTGAGAAAAATTCGCAACATTTGGGAAGTAGAATTGGAAACAATGCTGGAGATTGATAAATGTGGTCACCGTAGACGAATTCTTTATTCATTATCTGATTTTAATCAACGTGATTCCATGATCGTCTCGGATAATAGTGATGTAAACATTTTAAATTTGTTATATGGCAACCTTTTAGGTCAAATTTTCTCACTATTTTGCTTTTCTGCTCTATTCAGGCTCTATCGCCATGGCTATCAACGGATAATGCTAGTACGTGCACGAATCTTGAACGAGAACGAGATCGAAATGAGCAAAAACAAAATCCGCCTACAATACCATGGAAAGGCTGGAAACATGCACGACATGAATTGATCAATGGAGAATGTAATTATCTGGTCACTTATCTAGGATCAACATTGGTACGCGAATTACGCGGAATCGATTCTACACGAGCATCAATTGGCAAATTGAAATCAGCAACAGCAACTTCAAATGAAAAAATACTGAAAATTTTGCTGTCAATCTCATGTCAAGGTGTACAGTTTAAGGATTCAAAATCGAATGTAAGTTTTTCAAAAGATTTTAAATATTACATCGAAAACAATTAATCTTTATGCATTTTTTCGACAGAGATTAATATGTGAACACGAAATTCGTAATATCCATTGTATTTGTCAAGATAGCGAAGATTTAAATTATTTCGCTTATATTACCAAAGATTTTGAAACAAATAATCATTATTGTCACGTCTTCATGTCAGCACAAACGGTTCGTTTGATTCAGAATGTTTTAAATGAATTTCCTCAAATGAATTTTTTTAAATCATAAACACGCACAGGATCTAGTTGCGGAAATTATTCTTACACTGGGACAAGCATTCGAGATTGCTTATCAAATTGTTTTGGAACAATATAATATACATGTAAAACAGCAAACGACAATAACTTCAGTTACAAATCAATCGCCACAGGCAAAAGAACAAGAAAATTCATTTATTTGATCTTTATCAAGAATGGCAAACAAAAAACTTATAACAAAAGCTTAATTGATTATTATGGCTTGAAAGAGCCGCGATTGATTTAAAGCTTTTAGGCTCAATTAAATTCGAAAAAACCAGATCCAAAATCTGTTGAAGAGGGAGGAATTCATCATTCTCTCGTAATTCTTGTAATTTAAAACAAACAAAACAAAATGTAGCTAGTGATTTAAAAATACAAAAATCATCCATTAGTATTAATTTCTATTTTTATCTTGATTAATCTAAATAATGATGAATTTCAATTGAAAACTGGTGATGATTTTTTATGCTGCATAACTTCAAAAAAAAATACATACCGCACATTTCGATACTTTCATCGAAACCATTTGGACAATCGGAAACACCGTTACATTTGGTGTCTAAATAGAAACACGAATCATCGTAATCATCTTTACCGCAGGTAATGATTTCACGTTGTTGCAAACGCTGTTGTTCACTGTTTTGTTGATGAACATGATTATGGTGTGAATGAAAATGATTATGGCTATGTCGATGAAAATGTTCAGTAGTTGTAATCAAAGTGGCTTGATTATGCTGTAAATAATAATGATTATGATCATTATTAACATTTGGTTGCCATCGTTGTTTCAGTTGTTGTCGCATCAATTCACATAGATTAACATGTAATTCATCTGAATGCGTTTCATCCGAATTACCATCATCATCCGAATTACTATCGATATTCATTTTATTGATTATTGAATCATCTTGTTTGGTGCGATTTTTTATAAATCTTGTATTACTATAATCATTTAAATGAGAATCATCATAACGTTGAATAATGGAAATGTTATTATCATTCTTTGTATCAATGGTCGACATTGCAAATGCCATCATATTGGTCATGATTAACATAATGGACAATACAAAACATGAGTGATAAAAAGATCGATGACTTAGATGAGCAAAATAGATTTGATAACTTTTCACTGAATTAAGTAGCCATTTATATTGATAAATATGATGATGAATTGTTGTATAGCAATAATAATAACAATATCGGCAGCAATCAATTAGATAAATCACAGAAAATCGTAGTAATAAATCTATAATATTGTGAATAGAATAAGTAATAAATAATATTAATAAAACAAATTACGATGAGTGAAAAATTCTTGTGAAGCGGCTGCTACTATTATATGTTTCTATAATATTCTTGATCGGACCGATAAATATAATTTTTGTTCCAATCAACTAGAATTCTATCACGCATATCACACATATAAATACTGAAAACATTATGGTGACAGAATTGGTAAATATAAAAAATGGGTACATATGCTATGGATGTATTATGCGATAGATGAAAGTACATAGATAGAATAGAGAAAATCTCATCAATTTTGCAGTTCTATCGCAAGAATATGAAAAAATAGAAAATCGAAGTTTTCTTCTGACGTCATTTTTTTTATTCTTTTTTTTATATTTTGAACAAAAAACTATTTATAAACAGCACCAGAGATGGAGCATATACTTGTGTATTGAAAAAAAAACTATGTTTAAAATGGATTTTTTTTTTGTATTTTTCAAATTTATGAATTATAAAATTACAATTACAAGTACAAAATACATGTGTAATTGTACTTGCTTGTAAATGAAAAAAAAAACGTATAGGATTAAAACATATATATATATGAATACTATTGGTCGGATTGTTGTTGTTATCAGAAATTTTCGTTTTCGTTCGTGAATTATGAGAATAAATAAATAAACTGCTAGAATAAAAATAAATAGAAACTCATCAGAAATTCACTATCATTGATGATGATGATGATTTTGACGGTATCGATATTTACGCTGTTGATGTTTGATCACATCTTTTGAATCGAATGTTTTCACTGATGATGGTGATGATGATATGGTTGATGCCTTTTCTGCTAATAAAGTTGCCGGAATGTTATTTGTAATACAGGCAAAACCATAGGTAATATTTCCAATTTTGGACCATAATTGCCAAGCAATCGATAATGACGTGATGAACAAGAATAATATGAATGTCAGCAAATCTTTTTATTGAGAAAATGATAGATTTAGCATGAATTAATTTGAAAAATCAATCAAAAATCATGCAATTACAAGAGTTGATCGTAAATCCTCTTATTATGTATGGCTACCATATTATTATTATTATTAATGTTTTGTTTTTCTTGTTTTTCTATAAAATTTTTGAAAAATTTCAACAACAACAACAACATAAACAACTATGTTAATGACGATGACAAAACATTTCGATTATTCGTTAGTTTCAGTAACTGAAAACAGGTATAAATTCCAAAGTCCATGTACAAAAATAAAACAACAACAACAACAGCAGCAATCACAACAGAAACCAAAACCACCTGTCCGTGTACAATCAATGCAGAATCAACAAAAACCTGAAGTGTCACCGAAGCCAAAAAATTTACTTAATAAATCAAACACTGTTACATCATCCTCGATGAATTTAAAACCAGTACTAGCAAGATATCAGCCACAATTGATTGCATTTCAACAGCCACAGCCAAAACAAACAAACCATTCCGAATCATCATCGCCAATGACGAATTCATTACCACCAAAAGCATCGATCAATCATAATCAAATGATTGATCGAAAATTTTGATCTCATTTAATTCCTTGAAATCACTTAGAATCCCCATTTTCATTGTAGTTTTTTTTCAAAGCAAATCAAAGCTCATTATTCTATTTTTTGTCGAATGAGAACAGAAAAGTTCTCAATTGTTAAGTTTGCCTTTGCTTTTCATTCGTTATGATTTTCAACAAATATCTGTTATTTGTTTGTTCTCATTATCTTGAAACAATACTCTGATAAAAAATTTTGAAAACAATGAACAAATTCAATAGTGCAATATATATGTAACAATTATTAGAATCGAATATCAGAAATACATTTATCATAGTATGTGTGTGTCCATAAAAACCGGAAGCAAAAAAAAATAGAAAATTCATCTTTTTTCTGCTAAAATTTAAACAACAAAATTTTTGATTTTAAATTTCAATCCATTCGATATTTTATTATGGAAAAAATACATACAGATTTTTCAACGAACGAAGGCCTGAAAATGAATTCTTTTGCAATGAAGTTATATGCTGATTACTTAGATCTCTGATGAACGAATTTTATTCATCATTCGTTGTTCGTATGGAGCAATTTATATATATAAAAAAATGTGAAAAAAGAGTGTATAAAAAAATCGAATGAATGATCGAGAAAAAAAATATACACCATCATTCTCATGGGAATTTATTCCAATGATGATGTGTCAAATTTAGATTACGTACAATGTTTTCAACGATGCCAAACCACTGAATGCATGTTCACGTATCAGACGTATACGGTTTCCGTTTAAGCTTCTTTAGAAAGATTTTATTTTTTTTTACAAAACATTGAGCCATCCAGCGAATTTTGTAATGAGTTTTTTTTAATATAAAAAAAATATATAGCAAAACGAATAGAAAGAAAAAAAACCAATGAGAATAATTTTTCCATAAATACAAAGTTTCTTTTCTATCTAACAATATTGAATATTGAATTTGTCATTTCAAATGTGGTCGAATTCATAATCAAACCAATTGAGTTTCAAATAACACAAATGTTAACTACTCATGAATCAAATAAAGAATTTGCCTGATTCAAATAAACAGATCGAATGTCAAGAATTCGGATGAAATCAAAATTGAATTGAACAAAAAAAAAATTGAAAAAGATAAATATGATAATGATAAAATGCTATAATCTTTGATATTCGTTGCCTAAATTACTAAGGCTATTAGAAATAATCAAGAAAAATACAAATAAAAATCAGAATGAAAAAATTTTCATCCAATTTGCCAACCGATTTAATAGTCAGCCTATTTGTAAACAAAACAAAACAAAAAGATCAAAAAGGTATTCGATAAAAGAGATAGGTAATTTGCTAAGCAATCCGAAAATGGATTCGGGAGTTTATTCGCAAATATTTTCATTTTTTTTTTTTTTTGCTTTCAGATATTATGGTTTCCATCGAATCCAACTCACCAAGCTGCATGTAATGAGAATAAAATGGATTGGAATTGAATTTTTTGCTGGGTATATATTCCATTTGAGTAAATGGTTGTCCATAAAAGAAACTAATACATCGAATTTCAAATCGATCAATCACGCAAACTATAAAGAAAGTATTTTCAATTTTCATCATATGATATGATATTCTTTTTTGCTTGCTATTTTCGAGAACATTTTTTGCTTTTATTCACTTTTACGCATTTGATTTTGATGATAAAAAATGTTTTATCTGATGACTGTGTGATGAACGATTATATCGATTGAAAAATAACATAAAATCAAAATAAAATTGAATTTTCACTATAAACGATTGATACATACCACAATTATTTTCATCGCCACCATCTTGACAATCGATTTTTGTATCACAACGTATCAGCAATGAATCAATGCATGTTTGATTACATTCAAATTCATGTTCCATACAACCTATTTTTATTTAAAAAAAATATAAAATCAAAATCAATATCAGTTATGTTTCAGGTGTACAAAAAAGATGACAAGTCAGTGATGGCTTATTCACTTTAATCATGAAAATACATAAATTCGTACATAACCAAGAAATTTATTTTAAGCAATCATTACAGAATGCATAATTCATAGAAAATCTTGTTCAAAAAACGGCCAATTAAAATGCTAAGAAAAAAATTGTACATGAACAATTTTTCTTCTTTTTTTTCTTGGCTTAAACCTAATAACGAACATTCGTATAGCTTAAAAATACTTAAACTAAGAGCTTTTGATTTGTTTCATCATCAAAATCATATTTTAAAGGCTGTTGAAATCTTATTATATTCTATATTTTGTTCATAACTTCCAATCGAATGGCGAGAACAAAAACAATGGAAATGAGAGAAATGATTTAGATTTTAATGCTTTCACGGAAAATAGTAATCATAATCATTGGGTGGAGAATACACTGAAAAAGTTTCCAATTAAAATGAATGAATAAATTGTTTAAGCAAACAGGTAACAAGAATCACATTTTCATTATTGAACAAAATAACGATAATTCCAAAATATTCGAGCGAATTACTTGTTAATGTTTGGTAAATAATGATTATAAATAAATCGATAAATTCAGAGCTTAATTTTTTATATTTAAGAAATTGTTATGATAATTTGGAAAACTTGCTCGATTTGCTCTGATTAGTCTGATGATGATAAGAATTGTGGTACAATTTCTACCATATATAATGATGTCGATGAATATTGCACAAAAGAGAAAAATTGAAATGATGAATTCATTTATTTATTCATGAATAATTTAAACAAATCATCATCATTCATGTTGAGAATGGAATCATTCCACATAAAATACATTCATAGAATCATTATCAGAATTTGATTCTGAAGAGGAAAAGCTTTTATTTTTCTCTATTTGCTAACCTGTAAAACAATGCAATTAAATGTGCTCATCGAATTATAAGTATAAAAAAACATACACATACGCACACGAATTCTGAGAAAATGTGAAAGGAAAATATTTAATTCTGTTTTCTCAATGTCAAAAATATCAAATCGATTCATTTGTCTGAAAATTTATATGTCGTGCCATCGAATCGATTGATCGGATTAGAAAATTGTAAGCAGGAAGAGTAAGAGTGAATTTTATTATTTAATAACATTAAACCATCAACAATGATGGTGATGTCAATAAAAAATGGTTTGTTGTTTTTGGTTTTTGTTTTCATTGAATTATATTTAAAAACAAGTAAACATTTAGAAAATAAAATTATGAAAATTATAGACAATCATCAATTTCATCGATAGATAAAATGAAATCGATTGAGAATTAGTTTGATGCTTACTACAAATAATTACATTTCATGAACAAACATTGAATAAATTCAGAAAATGTCCAAAAAAAATAATAATTCGATGTGAAATAGTTTAGTTTTAATAATGCAATCAATTTTTTCTCAACATTGAATCGAAAAGTTTTCAATAAACTTGTAGGAATTCAATAATCAACCATTATTGTTTCTAAGAATCTATAGGGATTGGATTTTTTCTTTTCTCAACTCTAAATTGAATTAAAAAAGAACAAGAAAATTCATTTATTTGATCTTTATCAAGAATGGCAAACAAAAAACTTATAACAAAAGCTTAATTGATTATTATGGCTTGAAAGAGCCGCGATTGATTTAAAGCTTTTAGGCTCAATTAAATTCGAAAACCAGATCCAAAATCTGTTGAAGAGGGAGGAATTCATCATTCTCTCGTAATTCTTGTAATTTAAAACAAAACAAAACAAAATGTAGCTAGTGATTTAAAAATACAAAAATCATCCATTAGTATTAATTTCTATTTTTATCTTGATTAATCTAAATAATGATGAATTTCAATTGAAAACTGGTGATGATTTTTATGCTGCATAACTTCAAAAAAAAAAACATACCGCACATTTCGATACTTTCATCGAAACCATTTGGACAATCAAACACCGTTACATTTGGTGTCTAAATAGAAACACGAATCATCGTAATCATCCGCAGGTAATGATTTCACGTTGTTGCAAACGCTGTTGTTCACTGTTTTGTTGATGAACATGATTATGGTGTGAATGAAAATGATTATGGCTATGTCGATGAAAATGTTCAGTAGTTGTAATCAAAGTGGCTTGATTATGCTGTAAATAATAATAATTATGATCATTCTTAACATTGGGTTGCCATCGTTGTTTCAGTTGTTGTCGCATCAATTCACATAGATTAACATATGTAATTCATCTGAATGCGTTTCATCCGAATTACCATCATCATCCGAATTACTATCGATATTCATTTTATTGATTATTGAATCATCTTGTTTGGTGATTTTGATAAATCTTGTATTACTATAATCATTTAAATGAGAATCATCATAATGTTGAATAATGGAAATGTTATTATCATTCTTTGTATCAATGGTCGACATTGCAAATGTCATCATATTGGTCATGATTAACATAATGGACAATACAAAACATGTGTGATAAAAAGATCGATGACTTAGATGAGCAAAATAGATTTGATAACTTTTCACTGAATTAAGTAGCCATTGATATTGATAAATATGATGATGAATTGTTGTATAGCAATAATAATAACAATATCGGCAGCAATCGATAAGATAAATCACAGAAAATTGTAGTAATAAATCTATAATATTGTGAATAGAATAAGTAATAAATAATATTAATAAAAACAAATTACAATTTGTCGTTTAATTTTGATGTTACGAAAATTGATCATTAACAAATGTGAAAATCAATTATCGTAAAATGAAAACAAAAAAAAATGTTGAAAGATTATTGATTATTACACTTGAACAGATATAAATTGATAAAAATGGAGCCTTTCAAAAAGAGAGAAACAATTCTTTTTATTTGCGACAAATAAGTTTTTATTATGATCATATTGTTTTTCTAATACATACATACAACTAAAAAAAAAAAGAACATAAGAACATAATGTTGGAATCATTTGAATCATCAAAATTTCAACATTGTATCATACTGTAAGAGCACTTTGTACATTGTATTCAATCTCTAACAATATCTAAACAAGGTTAACAAAAAACAAGGAAAAATAAAAGTTTTATCTAAGAGGAAAAACTTATCGTTCCAAGGTTACGAGAAAATTGTCAAATGTCTGAAAATAGAGTCATCATTTTTTTTCTTTTGCAGAAAGAATCCAATCAAATTGATAATGGGAATCTTATATTTTGTGAACAAAATTTTGATACATAAAATAGTAGAAAAGAATGAATTTTCAAATCATATCACAGAAATGTGTAAATTCACACTCGAATAAACATCAAGATCGATAATGATAAAAGAAAATCTATATCTAAAAATAATTCGCATCATCATTACATATGGCTGTGTTAAATATATTGATTTGCTCGTTATACTGGAGGCAAGTTTTTTTCATGTCATCTAGTA